GGCCGCGCCCGCCGCGCCCGGAGATGCGGCCGGGATGGCGGTGTCGGGGCTGAAGGCCGAGCTGAAGCTGCTCGAGTCCATCTTCGACAAGGACCACGAGCGCTTCCGCATCGTCTCCTGGAAGCCGGACGAGCTGCACTGCCAGTTCGTGCTGCTGCCCGCGGCGGCCGCCGGCCCGGCCCCGCCGCCGCCGCTCGCCATCCACTGCAACATCACGGTGAGCCCCCGGGGCGGGCGGGCGGGCAGCGCCTGGGACCGGCGGGCCGGGCCGGGGGGGCCTCTCCGGCGGGCGTGACGTCACCCCGGGAGCCCCCGGCGCCCGTGGGCCGGGATGCTGCGAGCTGGCCCCCCAGCATCTGGGCGTCGCTTCCTGCCGCCTCCCGCCGCGCGGAGCCCCCAGGCGGATGAGGCGGGGTTGCCGCGTGTGGGGTGGGCAGCGGGGGGCCTGGTCTGGACGCAGTCTGGCCCCCGTGGCCGGAGCGGTCCTCGTGTGAACGCAGGCTCCCCCCCCCCCACCATGGCGGGGGCGGTCCTGGTCTGGATGCAGCCCGGCCCCCCGTAGCCGGAGCGGTCCTCATGTGGACGCAGCCTGGCCCCCCTGTGGCCGGAGCAGTCCTCGGGAGTGAAGTCCGCAGCTTCTGCAGGAGGGAGAAGCTGATGTGGGGCCTCTGGGGTTTCCTCCTAGAGAAGGGGCTCGGCTTCCAGTTCCTGGGTAAGGACTCGAGCTCGGGAGTGGGGGCATCGGGCTGGTTCGGGGGGCTCGATTATTTGGATTGTGGACTGGGTTTGCTGGGCAGTGGGATTACAGCGGGGCGTGACCTGGCGGAGCTTGCTCTTCTAGGGAAGGACACCCAGAGGGCTGAGAAGGAGGCGTGTTTCTGTTTGAGGCAGAGGTAGGCCTTGTGCTGTGGGGCGTGAGGGGGAACTCAAGGATTGAGGCAGGTGAGGATGGGCTGGGTCGCCCCCCAATCCTCCGACGCTTGCCCTTCTGGTGAAGGAACCCTGGGGCAGGGATAGGCAGCTTCCAGCTCTCCCAGTGTTTTTGCCCTGCATTTCCTATCGGTGCTAGTCCATATGACCAGCACTGAGGACCAGTGAGAGTTGTGGTCCTCCAGATATTTCGGCCTGCATGTCACCCATCTCTGCTGCAGGAGTTGGAGATTTCCTGTTTAAACCAGGGATCCCTGTATGTAGAGCAGGGTATACAACTCTGGGGTTTGACAATTTACAAGGGTATATATATATATATTTTGGAGTAGAGAAGAAAAGACTCAGGGTTCTTTTCACCTTGCTTTAGTCTGAGACATGCAGACTTCAGAGTAGCCCATTGCTTCCAACAAGAAGTTGGACTCTTGCACAGGATGGATGGGTGTCGAAGGCCTCTGTAGCCCTATTTGTAAAGAGCGAGTAGCTGCTAACCTCAGAAGGATAGCTGACTTTTGAAGTTTGGGGAGGGAGTGTGCTTATTTTTTCCTCTCAAGAGTAGCTCCCATCAAGATATACTTGTTTCTTCTGTGCAAATTCTGAATGTTCATAGTGTAGAAACAGACTCCTTCCCAAAAAAAAAAAAGTCTTTTTGTCCTTCCAAGCAGAACAGTCGTCCCTTAATCATAGTTTTTAAAAGTGTTCCTCTTGAGCTAAGAAGGCAGAAGTCTTAATGAAAATGATTCTATTCTCCCACTTAGCTTTTGCAGTAAAGCTGAAGCAAAAGTGTAGCAATGTTTAAAAGTGCCCCTCCCTGATTAGTTGGACTGGGATTTAGTCTCCACCCACAGAAGGTGAGAATCCAAGAACAAGGAGAGTGTGCGCACATTATTAAATGTGTCATTTGCTTTTTAAACTAGGCCAGAACTTAGTAAGTTACTTTTCCACCAGCTGAAGAAATGCAAGCTTGAAAGCCAGGAATTGTGAACTTGGGCTGAGGTGGGAAAACAAAGATATCCGTTATATAATTTGCCTAAAAACAGCAATGTTTCTTTGGGCAAAGAGGTAATGAGAGAAGTGATACATTAGAAGGGTTAGGTTACCAAAAATCTTTTGAGGACTGTTTCTGGATAGTATGCATGCCAGGTTGAATTCTTTTATAGGATAAAGGCTTATGATCTTTGTGATGAGGTTGTGTCTACATAAAACTAATCCAGTAGCTTGCAGTTCGCTGAAAGAGAAAAATGCCTGCCATTTCAGTGCAGAGTATTCTGTGCTAAAATGTACTGTAATGATCGGAGGAAAACCTGGACAGAAAGAAGGCTTCAGAGACTGTTTGCCTCAGGCATTATATTTTAAGAGGCCCCAAGGCCTGGGAAGCCTCTGATGTCTGTGGGCAAGGATGCTCGGAGGCCTTGCTACATTCATGAATGCCAGCAAAACGAAGCAAAGAGCGTGGAATGTTTGCAGATAGTTTTCTCTGAGGAAAGTGACTTTCCCCAACCTGGCGGCCTTCAGAGACTTGTGGACCACAGCTCCCAGAATTCCCATCCAGCAGGGCCATTGATGGGATTCTGGGTGTTGTAGTCCAAACATGGCTCCAGGTTGGGGAAGGCTGATCTAGACTTAAATAGAACCCTAGAGACAGACCATGTGGGTAATTCAGGAAGCTTTGAGCCAAAAGAGGTGCCAGAGGCCGAGAGCCGGTGTGGGACCGATACATAGGCACCTGGGGGAAGGTCAGGTACAGGTAAGACCTACCTACCCCATGTACGCACAGAACCTAGGTTTTGCAGAAGCTGTGGGGGTGAGGGAGAAAGAAGAGGCCAGGTTGTGAAGGATGCTGCCTCAAATCCAAGCTAACAAAACATATGTTGATCGAGGGCTTATGGAAAACATTGCTGAAGAAAGGGGCAAACCTTACAGGCTTCTGAGCCATTAAGGTCCCATATCACTTTGAAGGAATGTTGTCCGTGGGGTCTCGATGGGTCGGACACGACTTCGCGACTAACAACAACAAGAACTTTGAAACATATAATAGGTGTAGCTTTTTGCCTTAATGTCCTGCACTTGGTGTTGGAGCCCTGGCAGAAAGAATTGGGGTGGGCGGGGGGGGGGATTTCCATTTGATGCATAGGAGCAAGAGTTGGCAGTGAAGGGCGTCTTCTGCTGGAACGGAAGGCTTTGTTTTCTGTGTTGTGCTAGCAAAAGACATGTGGGAATGGGCCTGCAGAATGCTACTAACACAATATAAGAGGCAGTTTTTTATTTGTCTGTCTAGCTCAGTATTGTCTGCTGGGGTTGAAAAGACTCTCCTGGCTCAGTTGCTTCTACCTGTGCTTTGAACTTGGGACCTTGGGACCTTCTACAGGGAAAGCAGCTGCTTTCACAAGAGTCGAGTGAATGTGGCGTTTGTGTTAACGCCACGATTTCCTTCTCAATTGGTGGTAATTCTGCCCTCTGAGGAGCACGGATAATGCTGCTGCAGAATATCGGCTTTACCTCGTCTCCTTTCTTCCAGTATTCTAGGAAGATTATATTGCAGCTGTTTGCATGTAGTGGTGGCCATTAATGGGTTAATTAATCCACAGTCTACAGTGGGGCATGGCAAGCACATTCCATTGCCTTTTGGAATATTCACCCCTTGATTGGGGGGGGTTGCTATTGTTTAAATCCAGATGCTGTAGGTCAGGTGTAGGTTAAACAACCCACAGTGTTGATCTAGCTACTAATTGCAGGTCAAGCATGGGTTGCTTTAATGTCTGGGCTTAGACATAGTAATCCTGATTGAGGGTTGACTATTACAAAAACATGCCTGATACATAGCATGGCAAGCTAGGTATTAATTAGCAGCCCAGCATCCCTATTTACCATTGAGTAATTACACGCAGACTGAATAATTGTGAGCACAGAAATGTCTGTGTGTGGTAACTTAGAGTAGGCCTGTTCATACTGCCGTTTAACTTTAATGTCTTCATGTGATAAGAGCTGACAGTCCTTACTGTAATAAAGTTAAGAAAAGAGTGATTCAAATCCGTTTTCAGACTATCCCTTAAGGGTTGTTGGTAACTTTTTTATTCCAGAGAACGCGAAAACACGGAGCCACTTTAGAGAGTAAAATGGCAAACTTAGCTGGGTCTTAAAAAGTCATCCTGGCTGTGGCACAATCTTTGCCGATGCCTGTAAACACAGCGTAATTGTTGGTTGAGGATTCCCTTAAATAGAGTACCGTCATCTGTGTGGGGATGAGAGTAGGCCAAGGAAGAGTGGCTTGGCCAAGAGCACTTGTTCAAGTCACGACAGAGGTGAAGTTTGATCCGGGAGGCAAGGGTCCCTTTTGGCCTTCTGACTGCCCAGGAGAGAAAAGCGGTCCGGGTTTGGGGGCTGGGGGTGGGAAGCAGCTTTCTTACAGCCCGTCCTGGTTCCTGACCCTGATTGAAGGCTGACGTCTGAGGTTGCGTGGGTCCAAGCCATCAAGAGATGCCAGAAGCAAGCACAGAAGTTGCACAGAGTTGGCTTACGATTGATTTATTGGTGGGAGTGGATCGTGTGTTGGTGTGTAAATGCTGGCCATGGTTCCTTGCCTCTGAAGGCCCACGTGGCGCTGTCTTGCCTTTGCCCTGCTCCTCTGCAAGCCCCCGGTGGGCCAGTGACTTTCCGGGTTTGAGTGACGAAGCTGCCGCACTTGTGCCTCACAGGAGTTTTTTCCTCTGCTTGCAGTTAACGTCTGCATGAAACAAGTGGCAGATCCGGCGAACAGTTTGCTGTGCGTTCGCTGCTCACTTCGCCCTGCTTTGCCATCTTTTGCTGATTCTGTGTCGCATCTTCCCTGCCAAGCTGGCGTCTGATGCTGTAAACTGGAAACATGAAAGGTTTCTCATATTCTTCCCCGTTTCTTTTCTTCGCATCTCTACTGGAAATTTGTACCAACAATTTAATGCCACTTGTGAGGTGAAGAGGCCCTCGGGGGTGCCGTGCTCTCCATGCTGAACTCCACGCTTTGCCTCTGTGCCGACACATGTAGGATCAGGTTGCACAACTGTCAAAATGGTTGTGTTTGACTCTGCATACTTTGCGATGGATTTCCTTGCAGGGTCACAAGAAGCGAACAAGGCCAGTGCCGGCAGCCAGTGCATTCTCCTGTCTGTTGGTACCCAAACTTGTCTGGGACGGGAGGGGTGATGCAGACAACGGCGTTGTTCCGTCAGTGGTGTGCGCTGGGAGAAGCCAAAGGCGTCTCCTCAGGTGCGGTGCATTGTGTCGGTAGTTTTATAGATGATCGTTCGTCCGGCGCTGTTTTAAAGTGGCAAGCGATGGAACCAAAGTGAGCTGTTTCCGATAGGATGTTTCTATGCAGACTTGGAAATTATAGCTTTGCAAGGCTACAATTTCCATAGAAATCAAGCACCCGTGTTGTAGGGCAGGCTCGAAATTGACTTACCTATTGTTTCACGTTGTTATCCTGTTGTGACTCTGAAGAGCTCAGGATGGGTTTCTCCCATTTTATCCTCTCAACGGCCATGTGGGGTCAGATGGTGACTCACCCGAGGCCACGGGTAGGGCTGTCAACCTCTGTTTCAACCTCTCCTCCTCCTCTGTCTCTCCTCCAAAATTTTAGCCACTGGCTAGCTCAGGCTCTGCAGATGATCCACTTGGAGATAATAAAGTATATTTATTTCAGTACTCAGTGGGAGAATAATGTAGAAATCAAATCTGAAACACCCTGCAGAGGAATCTAGTAATGTTGAGAATTACGAATATAAATACACCCCCCGATCAAAAGCTTTGACCTGACCTAGATGGGGATCTTAAGCGTGTTGACTCAGGAATCAGCCTCACTGAGTGCTGAAATAAATTCCCCAGTAAATGGGCCAGCACTGTACACGCATCTAAACTTATGCTGGCAAGCGTTCCCCAGCTGGCAGCTGGTTTAGCTGCACAGTGATGCCCTCGGACTCCCTCTGGGGATGTCAAGACAGCGAGAGGTTGGCAGTAGTCTGAGGCAGCGAGCACTCCTCCTCTTCTCTCCAGCAGGCACCATGCCGGGCACCTGTCCCGCTTTGGGGAAAGCGGACTTAGAATAATTCTCAGGCCTGTCTCAGCGATGTCAGCATGTCTCCGGCTGCAGAGGGGCTGTGCTGTTTACAGCAAACGCAGTGTCCTTTAGCTCATGCTGTTTCAACAGGGAATTGTCTGTTCCGCCTGGAACGACTGTCCCTGCGACACAGAATTGTATTTGTGTGGTTCTTACGCAACAGACAGATGAAGCGGCTAGCACACTGCATAATTGAAAATGGCCGTGCCAGCTTGTCAGAGCCGTTTTATGCTGTGGGAAATGATTCCCAGGGCCGAGTCCTCTTCTCTCGTGGTCAGGAAGAATCTCTGAAGCGTGTTCTGGCATGTGGGGCAGTGTCTGCCCAAGTTCAATGTGCGCCCACATAAGCCTGAAACAGGTGAAAAACATCAAATTCTCCGTGCGTGTTCCGTTCCCGGGCCCTGCGGCAGATCCTGGATCAGCAGCTGCATCGCACAAAGAAACAAACGGGAGGAAAAGAATATTGTCCGTCCGTTGCCGATGGGTGGTCTTTGCTCGAAAACCGCTCCGCTCGTGTTAGCTGTGCTATCTTTTTCAGAGCAGCATTTCTTCGCCAGGCCTGTGCCCAGTCTAGAACTGTTCTGTCAGTGTTAGCAGCCACTTCCCTGGGGAGATACGGTCCTGGGTGGGAAGCACATGGCCAAATGGGGTAACTCTCCATGCTGTTGCCACTGATGCACGGAGATGGTGTAGCATCAGGCGCCGAATAGGAGGCGAGGGCTGCAGTTCTGCTGGATTTTGGAGGCAATGGAGGTTGTGTGACCCTCAAGCTAGGGAGGGATACTTCCTGTAAGCCTGACCCATATTGACTCCGCAAGGTCTGAAAGGGAGTTCTACTTGTCTTTGCTTGAAAACGAGCAGAGCTCTTTGCCTGAGTGGAAACACAAGTAGAATTCCTGTTCATACTTGGCCAATTTGACCTGACAAATGGAGGTGAAAATTGGGGTGAGGGGGCTGAGTTCATCAGAACCAGAGTTTGGCGGGGCAGGGGCAGCATGCTTGACCTTAACTCTCTACCTGCTTTATGCTTTCATGTAGTCAAGCAACTGCCTGGTCAGGGTTATGGAGTACCACGATTCCAGCAGTGTTTTTAAAAAATGTAACCAAGAACTCTTTGATCCAAAGGTGTGTAGAATTGTTTGTCATCGGGGATGTTTGTTCTAGCACAAGTTAGTTCTACAGAACAAACATGAGCTTCTTTTGTCTTTCACCTGAGTCTTACTTCTGATGAGTTGGTAAATTTGTGACCAATTGTCACATTGTGCAATGCACCTTCGCACAGACCTTTCCCTGCCCAAAGGAAACAGGCACGTTTGGGAAGGGACTAAAACAGTTTGCCCCGAGTTGTCTGGTACAGAACAGCCTGCAAACAGCTACACCTGAGACAACTAAGAAACTTAGCAGATGTTGGCCTAAGGAATCACTTCATCCATATGATAGCAAGGCTTAGAAAAAGTCATTTGGCAATGCTACTTTTTCAGCTATAGTGAAGGGAATAAATAATGGATTGAGATTATTTTAATGAAAATTCTTTATGTAGAAAGCAGCCTTTATATCAGATCAGACTGCTTGTCTTGTCCAGCTGTTCTCTGTTCTCTGACAGGCAGGCCAGCAATTTCTTCTTCTTGGCTAGCAGCTCCTGTGATCATCAGTTCACAAGCCTATCTTAATGCTCTGTTGAAAATAAAACCGACTGCACCTGTAGAAAAAGGGGGGCAAGGCAAAGAATTGGTAGTCGAAGAGGTCGTGCTTCATCTCCTGCAAGCATTGGCTGTGCCGCATCGTTGACTTTCCATGCCTGTCTGCAAGTAGAGCTGAGAAGCTGCGAGGGTTTGCACGAAGGGTTTGCCTTTCTTTAATAAAGCTGGTGATCTTTCCCCTACATTGATGGCAAGATAGGCTAGAATTTTTAACAAGTAGAGTTGGCCCGGAGCTTCGAAATATGAAAGTAAGTGTCTGCACTTCTTGTTTTTGCTGTTTCTGAAACAGGAATCTTATCCTTCTTCATCACCAATATGGTTTGTAGAATCAGATGACCCCAACTTGACTTCAGTGTTGGAGCGTTTAGAGGATATTAAGAAGAGCAACACCCTGGTAAGAGATCTCTTGTCTTCTTTCTTGTAATCTGGCTTGTAGCTATAAATTGAGCTTCATGTCAAAATCCCACAACTATTTGATTGTTTGTTGCTCTTCCTTTTAAATCTAATTCAGGCAAATATTGCCTGCAATTTAAAACTGATGCCACCTTTCCAGTGGCTACCTAAAATGGTTTGCATCCAGAATAGTCATAGCAGAATAATTTCCACAAAAGCTTTAGGAATCGCAGCGATAAAATTGGCATGGATTGAAGCTGCTGGACCCGGAGATCAAATATACATGAAATATGTTTTTGGAAGGAAGGAACTTATAGACGAAACCTTAAGTGCCTGTGGTATATACGAGAGAAAGTAGAAGAGATTTTTCATGCTTTCTGGTAAAAGATCATTCCCAGACACTGCACTAGCGTCTTTAACATGTTAGTAGCAAGGTTAAAAAAAGCACTGTCCCAAGCTCTCAATGTACAGTGAAAATGAGCACAACACTTTAAAAAAAACCTTTTACTTCTATAACAAAAAAATGCAGGGATGCATGCAGGTAAGGGACGCATGCAGAGAGAAAAGAGCAAGGCTAGAAACTGGGAGTGGAGGAGGCAGCAAACAAAGGTCAAAGAAGAGATAGTATCACTCACTGCTTCTCTCCACCCAACTCCTCTTCGCTGGGTGATGAACAGCAGCCTCCATGGGAGCCATTTTGTAGAACCCACAGCAGGTTCTCCGGTGTGCCCCTGCCCCAGAATGATTGGGGACCAGTGCATTACATTATACTCAGTTTGTCTTCTCCCTTTGCCTTGCCATTTTTGGATAAGGATAGGTTGCTGTCAAGGGATGTCAAGTAGGCTTGGTTTGCACCTCTTCGCAAGATCAGACGGGTTACAGAAATAGCGCTGCTGCTGCAGTGAACTAGTCTGAAAGTTGCATTCTCAGGAAACGGGTCAAAGATAAACATGTCGTTACACCGTGCAAGATTCGCCCTGCTGCACCTGAACCTGTTCTGCCTCTTCGAAGGCTGCCTGAGAGGGAGGTCATTCCAAATAGGGGTAAGAGGTGGTGTTACTTTCTGGAGACACTTTTGCTTCCCACATGCACAGGCGTTCGTGCCTGCCCGCCTGCCTTCTAGCTGGTGCCTTCCTCTGCAGCTTTATTATTAGAGTTCCACGACACAGTTTCATTTCCTGGTGACAGGCAGCCTCTGCAGAAGTTCGTCCCATTATTGCAAGTCAGGTTTGTTATCCTCCCAAGCAGCTGTGTGAGACACTGACTTAGCACTTCTGCTTGCGGAGCCTGATCGCAGAGGGCCTTGCTGTAAGATCAGAAGCTGTAACCTTCTTGTCTGGAGCTGCCAAGTTCCTATAATTTTAAGGTTAACTTGCCTGAGAGAACCCTTTGGTACAGCTGTGATCCTGCTGGGGAACTGCAAGGAGTGGCAGTCTAAACTAGTCACCCTCTAATTATTCTTTTAAAGTCGTGAGCAGTAACTGTGGCCATTATTTCTCCCCCAAATGCTGAGGGTTAGAAACCTAATTCCTGTTGAAGAAGATTGCTGACACATCGCTTTTTTGTGCGTTGTCACTGTTTTTCCATGTACCTAAATAGTGGTGCTGCATGATGACAAAATTCAACATGCATTTTATAGTTGCTACCATGTTTGTATTAATGTTTCATGTACCAGTCTTTGAAATATTCGGAGGTAAGATAGAGCTGTACATAGTTGTGGAAAGAGTGCTTAGCATTGTAGCTTTCGCCGTCCTAAAGAACTGCACAGTTTTTCCTGAATGAAATCTTCCTTGTTTTCCTAATACACTTTCATTCTTTGCCACCTTCCTGCTGAACCTTCGCTGCAGGGAGGTGTTTTAAACTGGAGTAGTTTTTTCCCCCAGGCTAAAAATAGCACTCTGCTGGTTCTGTGCAGAGCAGAGTGTTAAGGAGCCAGAGAGTGGCGTATTGTTGGGATTCACAGCCGATCACAGGTGTGCTTGCTCTGTGCAACTGTCAGTGCAAAGCTCAGCTTACAGAAGGTTTGTCCCCCAGCGCACACCCATGTCTCTGCACTTGCTGAAGTCCTGGGCTATTTGTTGTTCAATAAAAGTAAAAGCGATCAGGTCGAAATTGATAGCTTCCTCCTTTCTGTGTCTAAAAGCAGTAATCTTCATACCTGTGCAGAGTGGGCTACTTAATCCAAGCCTCAGAGGGCTGGAGAAAGCGAGTCATTTCACACACAGGTGTTTTCAGAAGAGGTGGCTCCAGATGGCTCGAGCAGGTGAGCCAAGCCGCAGCACAGGGAAGAATAACAGGCCTGTGTCACAGGCTAATCTTCCTGGCTAGAAGGCTTGTTCCTGGTGCCAGTTATGCACTCAGGTCCAGGATTTTTCAAATTGGAGTACAATAAACAAATAATTCTGTTTATCAAGGTGCATTTCAGGTTTCTGTTGGAAAGGCGCAAGCCAAGCCTGCCAAATCATAGCACACGTGTAGCGCAAACACAAAGACGTAACTGCAAAGCCTGCGGAAAATCATAGCACACGTGTAGCGCAAACACAAAGACGTAACTGCAAAGCCTGCGGAAATGAGACTCGGAGAGGAGGGAGGATGACTGTATAGGGATGATGATAGACAGTCAATTTGCTTGGTTTGGGCAGCCTGTGGCCTTCCAGATATTTCCCCCTGGAGTTCCAGTCCTCCCCTTTCATTGGCTGTGCTGGCCAGGGAAGAGGCGAGGTGTAGGCCGAAGCATTTGGAGGGCCACCGCTGGCCCACCCTGACTACCCGTGGCTCTTCCGGTTTTCAGTCTAGCCCAGGGAGTGAAACTGGAACCTTTGTGTGCAAAGCTTGTGTCCTGGAAGGGAGCTGTGATCCTTCTCATTGGGGCTGCAGCACCTCAAGGATGGGCTCGGGCCTATTAAAACAGGAAGTAGCTTGTTCAAGGAGAGAGAAGAAGGAACTCCAGGAGCTTCTGGATGAAGCCCCATGTGGGATCTACTGTCTGGGAAGAGGGAAGACTCCCTTAGCCTGGTTTTGACGTTGTCCTGACTCCCAAGTGCTGCTGTTCTGCTTATATTCCAAGCCCACCCACTGCTGCTCCTGTTCACAGAGAATAAATGCCTAGATCGGTTCATGCCCTGTGAAGCCAGCCTACCCTGCCTCTCTCTACCCAGCCTTTCTCGCTCGTTGCTGAGCTTTGTCCCTGGCAGCTCAGCGCCTCAGAGGGACGAGCAAGGGATACGCTAGCCTTCTGACGGGCCAGCACCCAGCGGAAGTGCCGTTCTGTGACTTCTTCCTGCAGCGTTCCTTCATGCCACAGCCTTGGACAACGCTCTCAGAAGAGCTGCCTGCGGTCCTGTGACCCTGTTTGCCCCTTAAAGGCAGCTTAGTTGTTCCTTCTGCCACATCGGGGCCAGGGCTTTTGCAGCGGCCATGGGTGCCATCCCTGAAGGTATTTGCTCAGCCCCTTTCCGTCACCTTTCCTGCTATGAAGCATGCTTTTTTTGGTTCTGTAGGTCTGTTTATGGTTGCACTTGTTTCTGTGTTGGTATGACTCTTTTGAGTTGCATTTGTTACTTCCATTATTATAAGCTGTCTTGAAAAGACGATTTCGAAAGACTAGAATATAATGCCCATATCCCTCTGCATCTAAAGAAAGAGCTCACTGGGGAGAAGGCTTCTGTATGAGCTCAGCTTTTCCCCTGACATGCTAACTTTCCGTGGGAGACTGTGGTCGGATGCACTTTAAAATCAGCAGTTGCTTCGGGTGGTACCATCATGCGCTGACTGTCCTGTGTACCCCCCTCCCAAAAAAAGAGAGAAAGAAAGGGCGCGTGGTAGAGCTTTTGGGAAATGCTGTAATACATTGAGTGCCAGAAATTACTGTCCTGTGACTTGGGTTTATTATAGGCATCGTTTAAGGGGTGGCTGTCCTGTTGGTTATCGCCTGAAGGAAAGCTAGCAATGGTGCTTATTCAGGTTACAGCTTGATAAACACCCTTTAAAAGGAAAAACAAATCATAACACACCTTTAAACTTGTTTTGTAGCTTCTCCAGCAACTGAAACGATTGATATGTGACCTTTGTAGATTATACAATCTTCCTCAGCATCCTGATGTTGAAATGTTAGATCAGCCACTGCCAACGGGCCAGGTAAACCCTTGGATGTTTGGGAAAACAAGGACTGGGTTCTGGGCACAGACGGATGAACCTGTGTTGTGAAGCCAAGTGTATGACTGGGGAGTTACTTTCTGGGGTGGAGAGATGACCAATGCACCAGTCATTGCTGTGCAGAGGAAGTGGCTACTGGGTTTTGTTACGATAAGCAAAAGTTCTCAGCCTTTGAGTTGAGCGTCTTGCAGTTCTCTTTTCCAGTGGTGGCCAACAAAGAGCAGCCTCCCAAAGACTGTTTTGGTTCTGCTGCTCAAACCAAATAACCAATGGAGCAGTTTCCCTGTCCTGTCCTTCTTTGCATGCCTTCCCAGCAAATAGCCACCTGCAAGATAATTTTTCTCCAGAAGCATGTAAATGCTAGGCACTAGCATTAAGGGAAGGACCAAGCGTCACTTAGAGCCTTCATGGAGAGTCATAGTAAGGGGTTGGATACATGTATTTTTCTGAGCTTTTAAGTCCAGACTGATCAGGGTGCACGCAGTACATTTATACATTAAAAATCTGGCACATACCTTTTCATTCAGTGGGTGAATTCCTAAGGTAGCATTTGTGTAATGCTTTTGAGTGTTCAGGTTGCAGTAGCCCTGGCCAGGCAGCCTTCTCCGACCTGGCTCCTTTCAAATGTGCTGAATCTCAGTTCCCAGCATCCCCCAGACAACATGGTAGCCCATGATAATTTAGCCCGGTTCTTTTGGAAGGCACCCAGGTAGGAAAGGCTGCTATTGGGGCAGTGACTGTACCCAGTAGGTAGTTAACTCAATGGCAGAAGTGACATGCAAACTTTGGACTTTCTGGGGATCTGATTCCTCAGCCTCTAGCACACTTATTTAAAAAAACAAACAAACAGAAAGCAGATTTAACTTACCAGGCGGTTGGTTTTGCTCTGTTCCAGAATGGAACGACGGAAGAGGTTACATCGGAAGAAGAGGAGGAGGAAGATATGGGTGAAGTATGTGTCTTTGCTTGCCTGCCAGCACCTGTCATTCTTTGTTCCTGCTTCTGGCAGTCTGCTCTGTCCAGGAAATTGCGGGGTGGGGTGGGGGGGCAGAAGGAATGCACTGAAACAGTGCCATGGCCCCCTTTCCTAAAATTCTCGCCGTTGCCCCCATCCTGGAAAACACATTGTGCATTTTGCTTTGACTCCCCCCTGCCCTTCGCCATTTCTTCCCGCACCTTCTGTGCACTGTCCTCCTTACACGATTTTCTTCCCATCCTGCAATAACCTCTTACATGTACACACAATCCTGCATGGCGGACCCAGACCATACAGTCCTGCATGGTGACGTCGGCGGCCTTGGCTGGTGCCGTAAGCCTATTTCCAGCGAGTCGCTCCCGGCCGTTTGTGCTCCTGCAGACGTGCCCAGGCCAGGCCAGTAGGAGAGACATTACAGATGCAGAAATATTAAGGTGCTTCTACGTTGTTACTGTTGGTTCTTAGTGCATTAATTTGTCTTGTAGGACATCGACTTGGATCATTATGACATGAAGGAAGAAGAACCTGTTGATGGGAAGAAATCTGAGGATGATGGAATTGAAAAAGAGAACCTGGCAATCCTAGAAAAAATCAGAAAGAATCAGCGGCAAGACCACCTAAATGTAAGCAGGTGTCGTTAGATAACTCAGAGCGATTGTCGAGAATGTTCTTTGAGGCCTGTCTTGATGAGAGGGTCTGAACCCAGGTACACCGTCTCTCTCAGAAGCTCAGCAAGTTTGGTTCTAAAGCCGTTTGCTTCTGTCAAGTCCTGTGTATTTAAAAAAGCATCCTTCTCAGTTCACAGGGCATAAAAGTAGAACATAAACTTCAAAATAATTCCCTAACTTTGGGATTTCACTTAGAGCACACGCTTTGCATCCAAAAGGTTCCAGGTTAAATCTCTGGATAGCCAGTTTAAAGAAAGGAAAGGAAACGGAATCAGGTAGAAGGTGACAATCAAGATACCTGGAAAAGAAGGCCTCAGTTGGAGTATATGGAATTAGCTAGATGGGCCAGTGGCTGTGCCTGTCCCAAGCAGCATCTGTATCAGAAGGGCCCGTGGCTCAGTCGCAGCAAGTTCGTTGTCTCAGAAGGTCTCAGGTTCCGTTGTCAGCAGCTTTAGGTAAGACTGGGAAGGACCTTGCCCTCAAGAGCAGTTTACCAGTAACTGCTACTGTACTAGGTAGACTGGAGGTCTGGCTTCATATAAGGGGGGGCTTCTTAAGGTTCCACAAAACCTTGATTCAGACAGAGAAATGTCTGGCGCAGGGCGTCAGTTCTGGCAGCCAGACCTGCCCCTTCTTGGGAACATTCCTCAACTCTCTTCCCAGAAGTTAGATTTGTCCATCCTGCTCTGGGTCAAACTAGACATGTGACAGAGTCTTATGTGTTCAACATCGATCTCCCCAGATGCATAGAAAGAAGGTGTAAACGTCTGTGCCACTAAGAGAGTAGGAAACACTGATCTGCAACCAGATTTCTCAGGGAAGCTGTGCTCTTTTTAATCCCAGAGGCTGTTGCAGGGAAGCTGAAGTAGGGCTGGAGCATGCCGGGCTAGTCACCTGCCTGTGCCTTCTCCTTGACTCCCTGGCCCCGCCCCCCAACACACACACACCACTCCCCCGGCCAGGTGTCGGGTTGGGTGGCAGGCAAAACTTTAAGGAGCTTCTCCATCTACTGCTTCCTGGCACAGAACCCTAATACTGTGTTAGCTGCTGAAGCCTATCACATCCTGTATGGGAAGCAGTCATGCGTCGATGCAAATATTTCTGCATGTTCTCTGTGCTATATCTCTGTTATTTTCTTGGTTGCATTGGGAGTGAAGTTCCTAAAATCACACAATTGGGAGTCCTTCTGCAATTGGTTTCTATTCATGATCTTACCCTCATAGTTACATGCATATAGAGAGAATATAAATCCACTCACCAAAAACTTCTTCCATTTTATTAAATGTTTAGACTTTAATCTCTTAAAATAAAGACACAAATTTTGCAGTACTGAGGGAGGGAAAGCATAAAATTAATGAATGGCTGCAGTTGTATTCTTCAACAGGTGCAGAAAATCATTGTCTTCCCCTTCACTTTCTTTCAGGGTGCAGTATCTGGATCTGTCCAGGCTTCTGATCGACTTATGAAAGAACTCAGGGATATATATAGATCACAGAGTTACAAGACAGGTAACAGATCTGCATTTTTATGGCACAAAAGTCATACAACCTTTTCTTATGATGTGGGAAACAATTACTTTTTAATACATGAAAAAAACAATTGTGATTTTTCAAAGGCAGGAGCTAAATGGTAAACTTCAAGCACCTGGATAGTTAGTTGTGTGGAGTAAATCAAGCGCCAGTAACTAAACTGTACTGTAATGGAGGCACAGCCTGAATCAACCGCAGTCACATCTCCCTGCCATCAAGAAGGATGGTGGCGCCTACAGTCTTTTTCACAACATTATCAGGCTCTGACTTTAATAACAAATGGCTTGGCCATTTTTAGGAGAAAAGTCATGGATTTTTAAGGTAAAATGTTGTGTGCCAACTACGCAACACGTCCCCATATTGTGTGGCCGGTGTGTCTGCCGCGTTCTGCAGTCCCACGAAACCGTTTTGATTTCCTGCCCCCATAGCAGGTGTTCATCATTGCAGGCTAATTTTGGGTAATGAGCTTTTTCCCATTGCTCTCCTCCATCAGGACCCCCCTTGAAGGCTTTAATGTGGAGAGGTAAAACTTTGTTCAGAGGCTACAGTGCAAGGGTGAACAGAGGGTAGATCAGTAGCTCTCTGAGTGATTTGCAGACGAACAGAAAAGGTTTCTGGTTCCCACTCTTGAACCAAAACGTGACTTTCCCCAGCTGCATCAGGCTGCTGAACTGAATAAGGCTTTCGCTGGTCTACAGTGTAAGCTCGGTCCAATTCAAGTTGCCAAACAAAATATTCCTAGGCTAAGGATGTCCTCAGAGGTCGCCTTAGTTAGTTCCAGAAATTAGTTCCAGAAAGTCTGGTGTCTTCCTATTCCCGCTACAGCTGATCCTTGCAAGCTAGCGATATTTTATACAGAAACCTTCAATTCTGTGTAAACATATGACTCTGGAAGACTTGGGCTCTATCTTGCACAACTTGGAGCCTTCCAGATGCGTTGGATGAGCTCCAGCTAGTGTAGCCAGTAGGAGTTGTAGTCTAAGCATCTGGACTACACCAGGTTGGGGGACGTCTTTGCTGTGTGTCCTTTTAAGAAGAAATGAGTGCACTTGTAAACAGCACCAGAACATTTGCTCTCCTACCGATCAGCATCGCCAGCCAGTTATCTGACTGCCCCTCTCCTGTGCCTGAAATAGCACAACAGAGAAATAAAGGGCATCCTATTGTTTTGGACTAACTCTGTATTGAGCTTAAAGACTTTTTAGTAGTGATTTTCCATAAGGTCAGGCTTCATGTAGTAGACCTTTGGTGGCAGTTTAGTGCGTTCCAGCTGCCCTGCAGCTGCAGTAACACAAGTTCCCATGTGATTATCCAACCAAAATGGTTCTTGCCCCACATGGTTGTACCAGAGAGAAGTGTGGGTTGTCCCTGTGACCTCTAAGTAACCTCAAACCAACTGGAATGTGTGAAATTTACCAGATGCACAGAAGAGTTCATTATAAACTAAGAACAGAATTTGTAGAAGTGACCTTCAGCCGTTACTAGTAGATAATGTCAAATACATAATTTTAAATGGGTTCATGTACACATTTTTTCACTTTTTTTAAGAATATGATTTGAGTTGGTTAGGTAGTTTTAATTTCTTGGGTTAGATTAGTGCACAGTATTAAGATTTTATGAATAGAAAGAATGCCATTTGGAAAACAAAATCAACCAGAGGAATTTATGTGAGGACAGCTGGGGAATGATTCTGGGTGGAGGGCCGGGTGATCCCCCACCAATCTTTGCAGGCGGTCTGACTCCAGCGGGGCGGGACCACAGCCCCGGGTTCAGGCTGAGGGGTCAGCTGGAACTTCTCCAGAGAACGCCTGGTTCAGGGATCTGGTTTGGGCTATCTGCAGTCAGGGAAAGTCCACCCACAGTGAGGCTGACCGAGGCATCCAGTGAAGGCGCACTCTTCTAACAGAAACCTTAGCTTCGCCCCACCTGAGGGTACACCTCTTAGTGTGCCGTTCATGCTCCCAAGTGCAATAGTGAACAGAATGTTACGGGAAGATGTCTGAATCTTAAGAGACCTCCTTTACAGAAGGAGTGAATCTCCAGTGAGGAGATTCTTCGTAGGGCTGGAAGATCCCAGATGTATCCCAGTTAACAGTTTCAAGGGTCTAGTAAGATAATACAGGACACCTTTAAACAAGGCCTGTATGCCTGATGGTGTTGAAGCAGGGATGCGCACGGTGGAAATTTACTCCCTGTAGTTGGAGACTTCTTGTGTCTAACTTTGGGATAAAGTACACAGCCTAAGCAATCAGGTTCATCCATCCAGTTTTAAATTTAGCCGCAAGACGCTGAGTACGTGTGCTTACTAGGATATCCCTGAGTTCTTTTTAAGTCTGGAGGATAAACTAGTTATGCTGGGAGGAATGATGTATCCTTAAGTTTTCTGCGTAATTGGTGCCAGAGAGTTAGCTATCTATAGAGATAAGCTCTTGATGCCTAGTGGTAATCCCAGGACAGAACAGTTGTGTTCGCTTTTGCCAGCGACACTTTAAGAACTGCTGCATTTTGAGATGGTGGTAGTTTGAGAGTGGCAATTCCAGTAGCTGCACTTCCTGACTCATCTAGCTTTTTGATCATTGCACTGTGGACCTGAACACTGATGCTGGAAGCTTGTCCAGACAAGGGTGAAAGACTCACAAAATAGGTATTTGTATTCCAGGAGTGACAGGAAGGTACACGAGCACCTACTGCTCAAAACCAAACCAAACCAAACCACTCGTCTTGGGCATCCCCATCTTCTTTCGCTGAGCTTTCCAGTCCTGTCTTCCTGTTTTTACTCATGGGATACTACTTCCCTGTAGAGCCAGGGAGGGCAGGAAATAGATGCCCAGATGTTTTCTGTTTCAGCTCACAATATGACGGTTGGCTGTGCTGGGTGTGGCTTCTGGGAGGCGATGCTCCAAATAACCTGGAGAGCTTCCTCTGCTGGAAAGCCAACCGAATGGACTTCCCACCTCATTGGGAGAAGCTAGACATATGCACTCTGCAACTTATTTTCCGTAACAACCGGACGCTTGCAAGCCTGTTTTGATACTCCATCAGCTCTGCGGCTCAGTGCCTGAATCTGATACAACTGCAGGGGCAAAAGCCATTTTTAGGCAGCAAATTTATTTATTTATTTAGAGTTTTTGTATGCCATCCCATCGCTTATAGCCTGGCTCACATAAATAAATATGATACAAAATACAATTAAAATCCGGAAACACCCTGGCTGCACAATTAAAACCTATAGATATTAAGCGTTGTTAAAATATTTTTTAAATAAAAAGGTCTTAGCCTGGCGCCAAAAAACAAACGACGACGGTGCCAGGCGGACCTCTGGGAAGCGCATTCCACAGATGGGGCGCCACCAGAGAGAAGGCCCTCCTCCGGGTACTTTGCTTCCTGATGTCTCTCCCGGAGGGCTCCCGGAGGAGGGCCTCTGCTATCGATCTCAAGGGGCGGGAGGGCAAATAAGGAAGCAGGTGTTCCTTTAGGCATCCAGGTCCCAAGCCGTTAAGGGCTTTGTAGGTGATAATCCGCTCGGAGATAGCTTGGTTCTTTCTGCAGGAGGAAGAAAAGAGTCCTGGGCGGGGGAAACCAAGGATCTGATGACAAAAGCTGCACCTGCCTGTCGATGGAGGCCAATAGCATATCCTTGTCACTAGGCAATTCTAAGGAAAAAGGGGAGGACGTGGTGCTCCCGGGAAGCTGCCGAAATGGGAGGCCAGAAGGAAGTTTCAGGAATAAGGCCTCTCTCTGCTGGCTCTTTGCAACACGGAGCACTACAAGAACAGGAGCAGCAAGTCCCAGATGGATCCCCGCTTAGGCTGCAAGGCTTGATTGTATACTTCCCCTAATGACATCCCTTGGTCTCCGGGGCGGTTTGCTGGAGAGGGAGGGAGGGAGCCGCAAAACTGACGTTGCTTTGAAAACATATTCTTCTGAACGGCTGTAAGTCTGTTTTCCTGATTGCAGTGTGCTGATTAGGACTGCTGCAGGCTCTGTTTTGGTGACCTTGGGCCAGTCCTGCACTGTCGGCCTAATCTACCTTACAGGGTTGTTGTGAGGATAAAATGGAGGGGAGGAGATCTTTGCAAGAGGAGGAACAGCAGGATGGGAATGTAGTGTAATAATGATGATAATAAAATCATGATGGTGGTGCTAATCTGATAACGCTTCTGCGTAGGTCATCGGCGGGAGAGAAGCAGAGGTAGGCAACTTTCACAGAACAGTAGAGTTGGAAGGGGCCGGGAAGGCCGTTGGGTTCAACCCCTGCTGTTGCATCGCAATTTTAGGGTTCTTAAAAAAAGTGCAGCAGTGAAGAGCCCCAAATGGATATTGCAAAACTGGGGGACGAATGTGGTTCAATAAAATGATCCTAGCGCAAAAACTCGATGACCTCGTGTGTCCGTGGGGTTTGAGTTGACGGGGGCTGAACCAGGAAGGGATAGTTCATTAATGAAAATGTCGACCCGGTGCGGGAATTAATAGGACAGGAATCAGCTGTTAGGCTGTCAATATTGTGATGCTGTTCCACAGATCTGCAGTGTGGCCATGGTTGGAATACTGTGTTCAGTTCTTACCATTGCACCTCACATAGATCTAGAAGTACAGAGACGGACACCCAGAATGATCAAGCGGCTGGAGCAAGCCCCCTGTGAAGAATGTTGCAACGTTTTGGACTTTAAAATGGGGTTAGACAAACTAATGGAGGATAAAACTATCTATGCCTACTGGTAATGATGGTTATTTATCGCCCCAGTATCAGAGGCAGGATTCTCCTCTGATATCATCTGCCGGGAATCACAAGCAGGAGGTGGCTGCTCCACTCGTGTCCCTGAATAAGAGGGATTCCCGTAGACTGGCCACTGTGGAAGCGAACGCAACAACAACCACGCTTCATTCTGGTGCAGGGGAATTGCTCCGGTGTTCTTACGGAAGGGTACAGTGGCTTAACCTATCCGTCACTGCTGCCCTCAAAGAGTAGATTTTATGACTGAACAGGTGTGGTAAAAATAAGGACTAAACCATTGCCCTGAAAGGTTCCCCCCGTCCCCTGCCGTCCAGTTTACATTTAAAGCTAAGCTGGCGGGCATCCGAATGCAAAGGGCGCTTGCTGCTCATTCAGAATTCCTTCGCCTTCAGTCTCATGAAGCTCTGAACTCTAGTATATGCTCCAGGCATGCTCTAATCCAGCGCTCTCGTTCATTTCTCTCTTCCCCAGGGATTTATTCAGTGGAACTTGTCAATGACAGCCTGTACGAGTGGCATGTAAAACTTCTGAAGTAAGTTCACTCCCTTCCAGCTCCATTTCTGTCCTCAGTCTGTATGTTTTGCTTCTGACATAGGAAGGAGGCCCTGCAAAATACTGAGATTCGAGACTTCGACATTGAGGAAAGCGAAATGTTATGTTGCAGCTTAGCAGATTTGCTTGTGTTTCAAACTACAACCTCATGAGTTACCCGGTTGGTTTGATTAGCCAATGTATTTTTAAAAGGACTGTTAAAAGAAAACGGCAGATGGTAGATGCCACTGTGAAAGAGATGTTCTGTCCAGTGTGAGGCGAACCAAGAATGCCTCTTCTAGAGATCACTGCCTGTTGTGAATCGTGTGCATATTATCTGAGAACTGATTTGTTTTATTCATATGAGAATCAGCAAAACCAGCCACAGAAGCCCTGCCCACTTTTTCCAGCCTGCCCCTTTCGAGTCTTCATAGATGTCTAATCTTGGGAACCAAAAGGCCAAACTAGATATGACGCTAGTTCTGAGCTGCGTAGGCTGTCCTTTGAAGCCGTGTAGGTGGTTCCTTTTATGAAATCACTGCAGATCATGTGCGTGTGTGCACGCCCACGCACAGGGAAAGGGGACGCGTCAAATCAGAGCTGTGATGTGGTGGTCCTGAGCTTTCAGCCCTTTGCTTCCACCACATTCCCGTAGGAAACAGGCTGCTCCACACCGGCTGTTCTGTGATAAGAGGGAAATGCATGCAGGGCTGTCTGGGGTGTGGAACTCTGCCTGGACTCCTAAGCGTGGCGCAGACTTAAAAGACTTTAAAAAGGAAAAAGACCTGCTCTCTGAACAAGCACTTGAATGCAACCAGTACATTTGTTTGGGCCCTTAATGATAGGCAAACTCCTGCAGGCAGCTGAGCACCTTTTGAAGAAACCCCTTCATGGTGTTCATTAAGCGTTGCTTAATTTTTTGAAAAGAGGTGCTAACTGTTCAGATCCGAGTAACACTGTTTCATCCTTTTCTTTCCCTTTCTCATAATTGCTAGGGTTGATCCTGACAGCCCATTGCATAGTGATCTTCAAGTCTTAAAAGAAAAAGAAGGAGTAGAATATATTTTGCTCAACTTCTCTTTTAAGGTAAGAAGAAAAGGGCTCCATTAGCATGTAAAGTTGTTGTTTTTTAAAGCGGGGTGTAAATCCAAAGCAAATGTCATTTTCTTCCCTCTGGGACTGAATTTCAGAAGCCCTGGCTAAGGAGCTTTTTATTCAGGAATGAATGTTCAGAATATGTCTCTGAAACAGGAAATCAAATATACAAATGGTTTTGACTTGAGATTTGTTTGTTCTTGCTTTAGGATAACTTTCCTTTTGACCCTCCGTTTGTGAGAGTGGTCTCCCCCGTGCTAACTGGCGGGTAGGTATCAACCTCTGCTTCCTTTTTAAATGTCCTTCAGGTATTACAAAGTTGCTGTGCCCTTGTGTTCAGTGGACTTGGATTTTACAAACAGCTCAATGGTCGGCTGTTGCATCGGAAGTTGTATGCAGTTTATCTATGCAGACATGGAGAAAACACAGCTCAAAATATGCCTGGACCCAGATCTCCCTAGATAAAAGTAATTTGGGTTGCTTTTTAAATGTACCACCTAGCCTACTTCACAGGGTTGGTGTGAAGGTAAAGTTGAGGATTATGCGAACCGCCTTGGGTTCCTCACAACGAGGTAGGCTGTAAATAGGATAAATAAGTAAAAATGCTCACCTTAGAAAATATTTGTGAAATCTTGTCATAAAGCTATTGCATCAACATTTTAAACAAATGTTAAACAGCAGCACTGAAAACGTGGTGCAGTAGAAAAAACTAAGAATGTGGATTCCAGAACAGCCAGCGAATCAAAAGAGCACTGAAAGTAGAGCTTTATCCAAAGTCTGGTAGGTATCCCTGGAGTGCTTCTGCCATCCGAACTATTTGGACAGATGCGTTCTGCTGTTCGCACAGCCAAAGACGGAGCATTTTGGCTTGTACTATGTGCAGATAGTGACTTACATCTGACCAAAGATCTGCCTCCCGGCACCGTATCTTCCCCTTACATTTATATCTCGCCCTTTTCCTCTTGCAAGGAACCAAAGATGGCTTATTTGGGCCTACTACTCTCTGCTTTATCTTCACCACAACCCTGTGCGGTAGGTTAGCTGGTGAGTGAGTGAGACTCACTTAGCCTCATGGCCACGTGGGGACTGGAACCTGGATCTCTTGAGTCGCAGCCCAGCTTTCTAACCGCTGCGCTGCACCCACAAGCAGGACCGGAGGGCAATCCCACCGCCCTTCGACTGGCGTTTGCAGAATGGCCGCTGCCTCTCCTCTGAGAGGGAGCCAGTCGGCAGCCTTGTTCTCCGTGGATTTATCTGATCCCTCTTTTAAGGAGTCTAAGCCACTGCATTGTGAGGCAGAGAATTCCGTCTCGCTAACTGTGCAGCGTGTGTCTCTGTACAGGTTGGGATTTTTGCACCTTTCCATAGACCAGCTGGGAGGGGCAGGAGAGCTTTTCAGAGAAACTGTTTGTCCAGCGAACTGTGGGAGAGTTGCCTCTCCAAACTCAACAGCTCGGCATGTGTGTGTCGAATGCCAGTGGTTCCCATGGCTGCAGGGGTAGCTAGGAAAGCAAAGCTTAGTGTTTTGAAATAAGAGTTTTGGGAGAACGGTGGTCCCAGGCATCAAACCGCACGGACAAATAAAAGTTCGAGCCTGAGCTCTCTTGTCAGCAGCTTTTTTATAAGGCTGGCAGAGAAAAATAGTTGGTGTGTGTTATGCTTCTGCTCAGATTTGTTTGGGTGCAGCAAGCTGATGGTTTCATAATTTCAAGGGGCACAAATTCAGCGCCAGTAAAAACCCCCCCTGTCGCGATGCATCCACCTCCTGTCCTTGTTGAGCCACTTCATACAAAAGTTCTCAGACGCTGTTCAGACGGGAGCATCCCAGGCAGTGCTTGTCCTGGAGGTTCTTTTGTTAAATTTTCCTCTTCGGCCGCTGCCCACCAGCTGGGTGTATTTGCCCCCTTTCCCCTCATTCAGACACTGTCTGGAAGAATGAGCGTGGCTGCAGCACATGCTGAATGGTGAAAACGCTGGCGTTGCGTGAAATGTTTGCATCCAAGGTAGAAAGGGGCATTTTGCGTGAGGGAATAATACTTGGATAAGCGCCCTCTTCTCCATTTTATGTGTAGTCTTGCCTGGTCACTTTCTGTACCTGTTTCAGCTGTCAAATAGAGACACAAGGTGGAGTAGGTAACAGACTGGCAAAGGCCAAGGGTGGATTTAGGCTAATTTATAGAAAGTTGCCCATAGCCAGTTGCCTGGCACTGGTAAAAGGGGAAAAGTGTCAGATACGTACACCAAAAGCAGTGTGGAACAATCTGACCCCTTAGCAATGTAATCCTCTCAATTCAGAAGTGCCAGATTTGCACTTTTCAGTGGCCTTCCGCTGTTTGAACACATCCCCAAGTTTGCAGCGGCATGAGCGAGGGGAGCGACGGATGTGCTCTCCCTTTCTCTCTCCCTTTCCTTCTGGCTCCTTCTTCGGAGCACTTACTACTGAGGCTGCTGTAGTAAGTCTTAAAAGCACAACACGCCAATATATGCCAATTCAAGGACTGGGAGGTAAACCAATGGGAGATTTGTGCACCTGCTGGCAGACACCGTAACTGTGGCAGTCAGTGTCCCAAAAAGGAAAGCAGCCAGTACCTTCCCTTTGTGAGAAAACAAAGACCCGAGGAAGTATTCTGCTGAGTTCAGATGACATGGCAATCCATTGCAGATCAAACAACCTCTAGAACAAGCCATGGCTTGTCATAATATAAGCTACCCCGCAGGAAGCGTCTGACTGGGGTTATCATGTTGTGTGAACTGAGCCAGCTTTTTTTTAACCTTAGCTGGAGGCCTGTAGGGATGCATTGGAACGGGTAAACTTTGTGTGTGTATCTTGCTTCATCCAGCAAGAGTTTCTGAGCCACTGAACAAAGAAAAGGGACAATAAAATACAACACTGTAAAACAGACTAGAACGAGAACTGGATTGTTGTCAGAAAGGTGATGTCCAAACAGTGCATACGGATTACGCACCGTTGGGTGATTCTCTTCTGTCTGCAGCAGGACACGTTCTAGAAATGTTGCCAAACTGGTTTAGCCGTTCTAAAGCCATGGATTTAATAGCTTTGATGCTCTGACTTCCCAGAGCGTCACATCTGCAGTGCTCACCAGCATCTACTGATTTGTGTCCAGAATAATTCCAATAGGCTGGCTAATGAGGATAGCTTTATCTTTGGTTGACAAAAAGGGGTTGACATTTTAATGTCCCTCGCCCAACAATACTGTGGATCGCTGGCTTCCCTTCCAAGCACCTCAGCGGCACACATGCAAACGAAGGACAGTGCCGGGAAGAACATCTGCATCAGAACGGTAGCCTCCTTTCGAAAACGATTTTTGATGGGTTCATGGGTCCTTGTAGTGGCGAGTAACCAGTCGGGCTGGATGTGGCCTTATACTGAATTAGAACCCGAATCTTTTTTGTGTTCCAGAACACCGACGAGCCCTCCCTTGCTAACTCCCGTTCAGAATGTTCATCCCAGCTATTTCTTACAGGTGTTGCAGAAGTTGAAATATTGGAAGCTTTCCACCTGCTTGTGTCCTTGTCAGGTCCATAATTGAGGGGTGTAACACATATAGATGGTAAATGATGATGGTAAATACTTCCAGATTGGCCAGTGGAGCCACGTATTTGGAAGTATCACTGCATAGCTGAGCAGGACTGCTCTCATGTCCAGTTTTGAGGGCTGCATAATTTTGAGGCTTGTGCCACCACAAATGTGCAGAGGCCGCTTGCATGGCCTGTATTCACGAACTGTTCTCTCACCATGCCTTTCTGCCCCACAGGTATGTTCTCGGTGGAGGTGCATTATGCATGGAACTTCTGACTAAACAGGTGAATACAGAATTGACATCTTGCCCCGAGCCCGTGGAAATTTCCAACCGTGAAAGAATAGGCTGCAGTTTCCAAGGCCACTCTGACTAATTTGAGATGGCAAGCAGGGTGGTCGTGCCCATTCAGAGCAGGGATGAGCAGAAGTAGAAATTTGGCGTGCCACTTGTCTCGCTGGGCATCTGCTTTCCTGCCAGAAGAAAAGAGCGGAAACTTTTTAGAACCAAGGGTGGAATCCTATGCATGTTTCGACAGGAGAAGTCAGTGTATGGCTGGAGCATGTTGGGATTGGTAGAGATTTATTCTGTCTAAACATGTGTAGGATTGCTCCCTAAAGGAACCCTGCGATTGCTGAGTCTTAAGGCGAGTTGGAGTCTTGTTATGTGTTTGCTTTTGTTTGTTTGGATTGGACTGGGGGCTTTATTTTTCGGTGTTTTGTTCTGCAAGATTGTAGAAATGTGTTTAGAACACGGATCCAAATCATCCCGGTTTAGCAGAGAATAATCCACCTTTGGTGATACATTCTGCAAAAGTGAGCTGAGAAAGTACACACCGTTTTGGATCTTTTTCTTTCTTTCCATTTCCTTCCCAACAGGGTTGGAGTAGTGCCTATTCCACAGAATCGGTCATCATGCAGATTAATGCCACGTTAGTCAAAGGAAAAGCCAGAGTACAGTTTGGCGCGAATAAGGTAACAATGTGCCGGCGTGACTTTTCAGCTAGTTGGAACCATCTGTGTTCTGGCGTGAAACCTGCGTTCCTTGCAGGAAAGAATGGATTCAGATGTAGTGAAGAGTGCACATGCGTGTCTGTCCATCTCTCTGTGTGTAGACCACAAAATACAAAAATAAAAGTGTTGCTGTAAGGGGAAGAATATGGGGTACCTACCTGCCAACCTGGAAGCACCTGGCGACTCATAGAACAGAATAGGTCAGTGATGAGTCCAGCTCCTGTGTATGAGTTCAGCTAACCTTCTCAATTCCGGAAACGCCTTGCTGCTCAAGTCCAGATGTTGCTGAAACTACCATTTCTGATCACACTGATGGTTAGTTCTGCCAGCAGTCGTGCAGTTTAGTATACCGCCCTATGTCTTATATATAGAAATATCCTAATAAATAAATAAAATATGTGAGGAAGAGAAGCTATGAGATTGTTCAACCTTTCAGCAACTGAAATCCAGGAGAAATGCTGGTTAATGTTTAGCAACCTCTGCTATGGTTTTGATAAACACTTAAACTAATTGTCTTTTTTTTCCAGAATCAGTATAACCTAGCAAGAGCGCAGCAGTCATATAAATCTCTAGTACAGTTACATGAGAAAAATGGTATGTATGGTATGTATGTATGCTATGGTAAAACACATAGTTTTGTAAGTATAACATCAGAAGAAAGAGACATGTGCTTTTTAAACTACGCTTTTTGAGCTTGGTTATCCCTGAGTATTTTTCACATTATCTCCGAAGTCTGCTTCTGTAAACTACCATATTTTTCTGTCTATAAGACACCCCCCACTTTTCCTACCCATCTCCAGCGAATAAGCTGCTGCCACGTGCGCGCTGTTCACCCCCCCCGTGCCCGCCAGTCTCCCCCCCCTCAGCATGCCCATGGCCCCCTATGTATAAGACGCACTTTCATTTTTACGTAAATGTTTTTAAGAAAAAGTAGCATCTTATACACAGAAAAATACGGTATGTAATTTGGTTTTGGGAAATTAACGATCATAACTTTTTTGATGCAAACATCACAGCCCCCCACAAATCAGCTAAAGAGGTGGCTGGGTGATTATTGGTGCAGCAATCTAAGGAAATACTTCTTAGAAACTGCTTTGGTTCTGGTGAATTAACAAAGGTGAATATGTGTGGGCTTTGAAGATATTTTTCCTTCTGACAATGAATGTTTGATGCACTTTATTGGAATGTCAGTTTTTCAAAAAAGGGACCTATGGTGTGGGGCCCGGTAATATTAAATAGATTTAAATGATAAATTGATTGAAAGGAAAGCTGGTTAACTGGTAGAAAGTCATAATGTACAACTTCAGTGGTCAAACACATAAACAGATTGTGTGCAGATGTGGCTAATTTCTGCATGATTCGTTCCAGTTGTTAAATCGGATTCTTAAATCCAGAATTGACACATACAAATACGGCTGGTTTTCTCAGTCCCTTGAGTAGTAGTTTCCCTCCTCATTTGCCCACTTCCTTTCTATCTTCCAAATGCAACAAAGCAATAGTAGTTTGTAGAACTGTTAGTTTATTTGACTCTTTTTGCTTGTTTAGCAAAACAACCGATTAACCCCCCCCCCCCACACACACACACACACTGTTCTGGATTTAAATGCAGAGATAGTCTGCAGCTGAAACAAACCGAAGTTCATGGTGCAACAACAAACCATGGATTCATTTTCTGGGCTGTTGACTAGCATGACTGTGTTCACACATCATAACAACCCAGAATTCATCAACCTGTGTGTTAAATAAACCATGGGTTAGTGTTATATGAGCCAGATCATAGATTGACACACACGGCTGTTCAAAACACTTGTCTTTACTTTGCTCCTAGAAAGCAGTGCCACCGTATGTGATAGAGCAAGACAGCATAAATCCATGAAATTGATCAGTTCGGTGCAATTATCAGTGCTTCATCTTTGCTTTATACTTCCTACAGGCTGGTTCACACCTCCAAAGGAAGATGGTTAATCTTGTGGATTTCTCATGCACTTGGACCAATGTCAATAAAAGATTTTCCTTCCGACACAGATTCAAGCTACGAATGCCCATGTAACAGCCATACTGAAGATTCTAGCTAATAGGTAATTAGTGGATGATCTTTTGACTGACACATCCAGTATAAGTTACAACCAAACAATTCTGCTCTTCTGTCAAGTATCCCGGACTGAACAGTTTCAGACTTTCCTGCATTGTCCCTATGGAATAAGCATACCAGTTCCTCCCCCATCTTAAAGAGTATGAATCCATCTAACAGGGTGGTTTACAAAAATATCAATCAATAGCAATTTCTCCCAATACCACCTTTTGTATGCACTTAATTTTTTTATTTCTCTCAGACTGCGGACAGCAGAAAATGGCAATATATTTTATTTAAAGCCTACCAAGTTGAATAAAGCTAGTTTTATATGTTACAAAGTTTTTCATGTCTTAAACAGGTCCTTTTTTCCCTTCCTCTTCTGGTCTAAAATTAAAAGCATTTGTAGTATTGCCAAATTCAGTGACGATAGATAGGAAAGCTGTAATGTTACATCATCGAACTTTTTACCCCATGGCTGCGCTGAGGATACGAACTGTTTTCTTGGCAGAGATGCTCCTCAGTCGTCCTGTTGCTTAAGCAGAGCCAGGCTGTGCCAATAAAAGGTTGCAACTAGTCATATCCACTGGTACATCCATTTTTTTGCTGGGCTATTCTGCTAGCTGTTGGCTCTCGTATCTCCTTCGCAAGAGGGAGCCATAGGTATAAAGCTTGAAGTTATTTAAAATACTAGAAACCTCCTTTAGGCATTCGGTTCTATTAACGGGCTGTTGCAATCATTTGTAGACTAATGAACTTTAAAAGTGATTGGCAAAATCAAGAAGACACTCCTTTATATTAAAAAAAGGGTTTTTAAACAAAAGCAAGAAAAGTCCCAGGAATCTCTTGATTCGAAGGGTTTTTTTTAAAAAAAAAATGTTGCCATAGTCATGACCATAGTTTTGCTGAAAAACTAATGGGAAACTGCTCTTTTTAGGAAACCAATCTGGATCTGTAACTGCTGTGAGTTGGGTAACTGCTATATCATTGCCTTACTTTTTAAAAAATCAGGTGTGGCTTTATTTTTATTTTTATTTTGGTAGTTGAATTTGTGTAGACCTTTTTTTTCACAGGAATTTAATTAAGGGTGAAAGCACTTTTTTAGAAGTCCAAAAATATCTCGCCCCTCTCAGAAAAAACCCCCTCATTTGTGCTTTCTTTGGCCTCCAGGCATTTTACTTCAGGCATTTGGTTACATATGCTGGTTTTTGTTATTAGCTCGGAAGATGAGACTAGATGGGTTTGGCCTGATAGAAGACAATTTTGTGCGGTCTTTTAAGGAATGCTGTGGGTGACTTTCAGTCTCCTTGCTTGTTTGGTTGTATATATTATTCCTATAAAGTGCCGGTAGCAGCCTTAAGTTGGAGGCCAAATTCTGTAAGCATTTCTGCAGCTCCTTTAAAACCTGAGGTGAAAACTTTGAATACGTTATTGAATTCCTTAATATTCTAATGGACTAGCAGAATGACAGGTGAACACTTGGCTTGCTTTTTATTTTTTGAGTTTCATTTTCATTGCAGAATTATTTAGCAGTGTATGGTAATCTGTAAACTTGCATCAAGTTTATGAATAAAGAACCATTTTAAGAATGCTGTTCCTGGTTGGTATCTCTGGAGAGAGTCTGTATTCATTGACAAAGTGTGGTACTGTTCTTGGAGCTGGTGGGTTATAAAGATGAGGAATATCACACAAAAGCAAACCTTATTCTGTATGTTAACACAGTTGATGAAAATCATAAAGCCAGCCTCTAGTGCTTATACCTCACACAATTTCTTAAAATAGTCATTGAACAAATGATCCATTCAGCACCAATGAAATACCATTTTTCTGGACAATCCATACAAGTAAGCCTTTGTGAAGATCTAAAATGAAGCAGAATGATTTCCAGTTTAGTTGCTGTTGAATTAGAAGCAGGAAGACCAACACATGAATAAAATCAGAGTGAGCTTTGTCTTCTAGTTCCTCACATGTACCCCCACTACCATATACTGAATGTGGTTTTGATAACCTAAGGCAAATTTGAAGCTGTGCTAGCTGCTCCAAAAAATGCTTGCAGCATCTTATTTTTTATTCATTACTAGTCTAAGCGCGGATGCAGAACTGGAAAGTGAAGGGTCAGGCAGAGCCAATAAGGAGCTGAAAACCACTTCCCCTGCCAGATTGCTGAAGGGCAAATGTTGCATTTGCCTTCCGCCATCTGCAATAGCAGAAAGGAGAGAGCTGAAGTAGCACTTTGGCTGATGAAATCAAGTTTGGATGATGTACAGGGAGACCAGAAGCCAACAAAAGCCCCCATGATGGGCTTGGGACTAGTACAGTGACCAAGAATATCCATTTATCTATTTATTTAATATCTATACTTCCCAATAGCCAAAGCACATTAAAAACAAAGAATGTATCATATTAAAAACATTAAAAGTTGACAATACCAGAAACAAAGCATCCAAGCTTGTGGCAACAAATTATAAAGTTTAACCAAAATAACTGATAACCACGTTGTTACCGGACTGAGCCAGTCAACAGTTGGGGCAAACCTGGGTGGACCCCAGACCCGAGCCAAACAGAGCCTGAGACGAGACTTGAAGCCAAAACCGGCTTTATTCTAGTGCCCTATAGAACAAAGGGAGACAAAAGGGGACATTCAGCCCAAAGCAGTGACTCCAAAGTTGCACCCCAGTACATGCGTTTTATGCCCTAGGTTGCCAATTAGGTGACCTAATACACATCGAATACATCGATATATCAATGTATGCACCCCTCCCGTGCTGGAGAAAGAGTCCTTTCTTCTGTCAAGGACCAGACAGTTCCCATATCTATTTCTTATCTGCTCGAGATTCACACGGGCTTGCCATGTTCTTTCTCCCTGCGCATTTGCAACTTTCATGGCGGCTAAAACCAGTTTCCACTGTCCCTTTGATGACTGTATTGGAGGTCAGGCTGGCGTGTTAGCTGCGGGTTGCACAAAGTTCATTTTGTCCGTATCCCCCCTCCCTTCTGGGACGGTATAACTGTGGTGTTTTTACTATGGGGCCTTCCTCTGGCCAACTCCTTTCGGGGTGTTTTGGGGTGCTGCAAGTGGTAACAATGTGCTGACCCCAAGACCAATGCATTTGCCCTAAGCCATACGCTTTCGCGACACTCCGTCTCCACTCTATGGTACGAAAGGCAGCATAGAGAGGCGGGCGGCTAGAGCGACGGGAGCGGCGGCTTCCGATCCCCCGGAAGCCTTGCGGGCTTGCCGCTCTGGCCTCGCTCCCGACCGAGCCCGCCCGCGTCGCGGGGTCGATGACGCGCCCCGGCTTCCGGGGCGTGGCGCGAGGGCTGCCACCATTGTCGCCGTGCCCGGTGCCCGGCGGCGCGCGGGCCGTGCCGTTGCCATGGAGCCCGACCCGCGGGGCAGCTGCGTGCTCAGTAACCTCGCCGAGGTGGTGGAGCGGATCCTGGGCTTCTTGCCGACGAAGGCGCTCCTGAGGGCGGCCTGGTGAGGGCCCGCGGCCGCGCTCCGGCCGAGGGGAGGGCAGTGGGCGGCCGGGGCCCGCGGGCCGGAGGGCTCGTTCTCCTGGGCGGGCGGGCCGGGGGGTCACGGCCCGCTCCCCGGGACGCCGGTGCTGGAGGCGCGTCGGCCTGGCTGAGTCGGCCGGGCCTCGTCCCTTCCCTCCCGTGCGTATATGCCTTGTAGGCGTTTGTGTGCATTATGTGAACATCCCGCCGTTGTTCCTGCAAGGGACCCGAGGTGGCCTCCGAAGTCCTCCTGTCGGCGCTGTCCTCGCAACCGCCGTGCCCGGCAGGCTGGGCTGGGGGCCCGCGAGTCGCCCAGGGAGCCCCGGGACGAGGGCCGCGTGCGCGGGGTGCCCCGTGTGTGCGGCCGGCCTGCGTGGGTGTCGTAATGCAGAGGCCGCTTTCGTTGCAGCGTGTGCCGCCTGTGGAGAGAGTGCTCGCGCCGGATCCTGAGAAGCCAGCAGAGCGTCGTCTGGGTTTCCACAGTGGAACCGGGGCCGTCAAACAGCCATGCTCTGGTCCAGGTGTTAGCCGAGGAGCTTGAGGTACGTGGATAGAGCATGGGGCGATACATTTTTCTGAATCTGAAATGCTCAATGACTCTTCCCACTGTCCCTGCGATGGAATTCCAGAATGAAGTGGTTTTGATTATCTTTCATTATGGAAATTCCAGCTACCTATCCTGCTCAGAGGCTGCCTTCAGACCTTACAGCGTCTGTTTAATTTCACTCACCGCTTTGCAGTAGTTGATTGGACCTTGAATTATTTTGAAATGGGTATTTTTGTAGAAAGGGCAAGGTGAACCTTTTTTTCCTATGTGTACAAGGGCCAATAATATATTTATAATTATTCCATGTTTAAATAACTTCGAATGTCAAGAGGCTGCAGAATCCTCTTAAGCAGAAGAAAGAACTCTCTAAATTAAAGGAATACGAAAATGATACGGCTTTTTGGCAGGAAACACACTTGATGGCAGCAGATACACATCACCTGGCAAGATAGTGAGTAGGAGAGGAGGAGAGTGTGCAGCAGATATTTTGACAAACATTCTTTTTGTTTTCATCTCAAGAAACTATTGCTGATCCTGTTAGCTGGTTTTTCATTCTGGTTGGGAATCAATGAAAAAGTAATGGATTTGTTTAACATGTATGGGTCTAATGTTGGCTCTTCAGCCATGTTTCATTAATGTTTTAGCGAACTGATATTATGTCAGGGGAGATTTCATAGTACTTAGGTCCTTTTTGGGCAGGAATGAAACAGCCCCTAAGAGGCAAGCAATGGTAGGATTTGGCTTGATGGACTTGCAGGGAATATTGTGTCTAGATGATAGGAGCTACGCATTTCTATTGTCTGCAGCATAATGATTTTGGCTGGATTATTTTGGGGTTTCTGCATCCTTGGTATGTCAAATCAGAGACACTTAAGAATGAAAAGTTGCTAATATCAGACTGTGCTGCAGTCAGTTTGGATTGGTTGCGCAAGAATAGCCACAGGTCTTCTGGCCTTTGGCACTTTAATGTTTCTTTGTTAAACGATGAGTCTTTTAAAAATCAGATTCTCTCTGAGTTACAAGAATAGGTTGAAAATAATGAGGGTACAACAATCTGTGCTCTGCTGAGGCTAGCAAAGCTTTCGTCCAGGACCAAATTATTGCTTATGCTTCTCATAAAAATAAATTAGAAATCTCAGAATTAGAAATAGATCTCAGTGATAGGTTAAACTCTTAATACCCTCAAAATGTATGTAATACTGTGACATATTTGTTTTAGGTAGTATTGACTGATTTATACCTGGCAAATATTTTCACAAGTTTAACTTTATAAATTTTTATGGGGCTCCTTTCCATCATGAGTATCCTTGGAAAGGATGTAACTTCTGATCAGAAAGGGTAGATTTGACATCCCCGATCTTAGTCGTCACCATCCAGCTTATTTGTTGACTTGAACTCGGCTTGGGTCTTTTCCACTCAAACTAGAATCCTCTCCCTGGCCTGCTTTGGAATCTTCGTTTCTAGATCCTCTCCCCGGGTAGATCACATGGGGTTCCTGGCATGCCAAGTTAACATAGATCTATGCTTAGATAATGCACTCCCTTCCACTGTGGCAGCTGGAGAGCTGTGGCGTATGCTTTCGTGTCAGTTGCAGTTCAGTGTACTTTCGCTTGCAAAATTGATGGGGAAATCCCACCGTATACTTTGTCAGCCATGTCTGCATGGCCGTGGGAACATTTAGGTTTGGTCCTGCTGCTTTTATAGCTTCTGAGCTACCCCTTTTCTTGGAAGCATTGATTGATGCCAAACAGTTATCTCTGCCTGCAGTTTATGACCATAACGATTTAATATCAGAAAATAAATGTGATACGCAGGGCCTCAAGTAAGTAAGGCATACTGAACCAGGCCAGCCCAAGTTGTCTATCCAGTGGAATGCATTGGGGATTATAGATCTCAGGCTATGCTTAATTCAGGTGTAATTCTGCAGATGCTTTCCTTTTCCATATGTTTTGGCAATGCACAACCGCAGCTTGCTCCTGAAAAGCAGTAATTCAGAAGTGCATATATATTTCTTAATATTAAAGAACTTTTCATCACAAGATTTGTCCAAATTATCTACCCATTTCTTGGAATTTAATGCTAGGTCAACATAAATGAATTTTTCTCCCCCTTTTGACAGATAGATGACTAATTTTGCAATACTGAAAGAAAAAAAAACTGGTCCCCTGTAATAACTCAGGGGGTGCAGGATTTACTGAAACCTTTGAGTTTTGAACACTTAGTTTTTAGTAACTTACAAATGGATATTTGGGGTGCCTTTATTGACACATATGCATAATTATTTTAATAACAATAGCATGTTCTTTTATATGCTAACATATGGGGATATATAATATAAATCTAACAAGCGCTATGGATCTTTTTCTTTTCTTAAATCCTATTCAAATATTGTCCTTTTCCTGTTCGCTTCTGTTTTTATAATGGGGTTTGCTTGTTTTTTATTGCACAGTAAAAACAAACATTCAAAGATTGTTTCTCTGGTGGGGCAATGTAACATACAGCAACTTGCGAATATGTAGCTGATCAGAGTTGGAGAGGGGGGTTTTAAACCCTTGAAGAATTAGAGAAACTGAGCTTTGAAATTCTTTTTCTACACTATTTGGTGAACTTCAGTATTAAGGAGGTGCTTAATAGTGTCTTTGACCTCAAATCCCAGGCACACTTACCTGGGAATCAATCCAGTCAGCACCATCACTTGAGTTCCAGATAAATGTGCATTATGCTGCACTGACGTCTGTGATGTGTGTACCCAGATATCAACCCCACAGAACTTGTGGGGAGGCATTGTTCCTAAGCACTGGCCCCATTGTTATCGCTCTCTTACCAATGCAACCCTTTGCAGAAAATAAACAAGTTGGCCTTCTAGACGACCTGGTGACCTCAGGGGATATCCTGTCTGGGGATGATGAGAGTTGTGGTTCAGCACAGCTCAGGGACAGCAGGTTGAGGAAGGCTGCTCTAGAGTGTGAGGCAGAGCAATCAAGCAGTAAAGGAGAGATCCCAAACTGCTTGGCGTGCAAACAAGGCCCTTTGATTACCAAATAACTCAGCGTTGTTGATTTCTGAACAAAGCGATGGCTGTTAATATAAGTCTTTCACAGTGTGGATCATATAGTTCTTTGCTGACTTGCATTTGTCATTGAATATCTTGCGACTATTCCAGAGAAATTAGAGGAGTAAGTCAAGGGCCATGTTGACTCTGAAGAGGTGTATTTTGTAGGGGACGTGGAGAGGTAAAAGCAGCTAGCACAGCCCACCGGCAGCCTATTTCCTTTGGAGGGATGAGCATCTCTAGGCCAAGCCAAGTGTCTTCTGTGTTGGGAGAGTGTCTGAGCGTGGGGTCGGAGAGTGCTCTCCCGCCATGTCCAGCCACACGTGCTTTTCCTATGAAAGAGGAGTTCCTGTGTGCATTTGTCTGTGCTGCCTGCCCCTTCATGCTTGGTTTTTACTTTACAGAAGGTTCACGTGCTCCCCCAGACAGTACTCTACATAGCAGACGCAGAGACCTTCAGTGGGCACGAGGAGAGCCATGGGCACGGGCAGAAGAAAGGTCAGTACCTGTCCTTCTGCCTTCAAGGAACCTTCCTCTGTTGGGAGTTGCCCTTGGTGGTCCTCAGCACCCCTGCCAGCGGTGATGCTTTCGTGACATTCTGTTGGGTTGGTGCTTCTTCCACCAGCCCAGAGTCCCCACAGGGGCACCTTGTCTCCCTTGTCCTCCAGCTTTGATTAGTCCAGAGGAGAGGTAGGGCTCCATCCGCAAGCCTGGGACCCCGGGGATGCTTGCGCCTTCATGAAACACCTTGCCACTCTGCGAGCATCTTGGCAGAAGTTCAGGTTCTGCCTGCCCTTCCCTTAGTTCAGAGGTGCTGGGTGACTTTAAGACCTCAGGAAGCCCAGCAAGTAGCAGCATATCTCGCCACTTTCCTGGTGGCTGGGGTATTTGAGAAGCCGTGGCGGTGCTTGTGGAAGAAGCACCCATTGACGAGACACCTCCCACACCAGACGGTTGGCCTCTCCTGGTCACATGTAACTGTAGTCCTGTCGGGAGCCTGCAGGCCCTCAGATGTTGATGCCCTGGAAAATATAACTGGGCTGCCCAAGAGTTAATGCATGGTGTTTGAACAGCTTAGTTTGCTGCTGTGGAACCCCAGTGCTTATTGAGACAACCAGTTAAAATACCTCGAAGAACTTAACTGTTGCTGCCAACCGTATCACTGATCCCATCTGACCTTGGACCAATAGTTGTTCTTTGGAATTGCAGCACGGAGAAAGAATAGCACGGAAATCGCCACTGCGTTGGAGAAGCTATTACCAAAACGATGCCAAGTCCTCGGCCTAGTGACACCTGGAGTTGTCGGTAAGAGCAAAGCAAATGCATTCAGCAGCCTGATGCTTTCCCCCACAATTTCTGCACTTTCAAGCCAGTCATTTCTCCGGCTTAAAATCGGAGAGTAGCTTGCAAAAGGGAGTGTGTGTTGATTTAGATGGGGTCCCTTGCAAGGTAACAAACAAGGCACGATAGCTGTTGGACCCCCAGATGAGCTCACCTCCTGTTACCTTCTCCACAAGGCCTTTTAATCGTGAGCTGCCCCAGTGCAGGGACTTCACACAGAGCCACTGTGATGTGTTCAGTCACTTCCTAGCTCAACTGTCAGGAAGACTGTTTAGCAGGTGATTGGACGAGGGACCTTGTGTCTAGAAGGCCTGTGTGTGTTGCAGTAGAGCTATGAACCTCAAGCACAGAGTGTGTGTGCATCTTAAAACCACATGTCGAATTAAAATGCAACATTCTCCTGCCAGATTAATATGTTGGAGGTTTTCAGTGTGTACTAAAAGTAGCAGAACCTCCCTCTTTGCGACGTCAGATTTCCAGTGCCTTGGGGCAGTTTTGTGCTGATGGAGAGAAATGGGGCCATCTTAAAAAACAGTATTATTGCAGTGGCACATGGTGGTTTTGGGGGATGAGCTGGCAGCGTCAGAGGTCTTAAAACTGATGTTAAGCTTCACACCTGCTTTTGACTGGTTCCCTTTAGTCACCCCAATAGGCTCTCGCAGCAATCGGCCTCTGGAGATAGAAGACGGAGAGGCTGGTTTTGCATTACTCTTCCCCAAGATCGATGGGGTGAAGATTCAGACCTTCCACTTTTTTAAAGACTTGAAGAGCAGGGTCCTTGATGAAAGCCAGTTTGCTGAAGCAGGCAAGTAGTGGTTTAAAAACCGTAACAGCAACACATTTAAAGCATGGTAGGTTTAGTTTTACTTGTTGTTCTTCTTGTTCTTCCCAAAAGCAAATTGAGAGGATCTCCTGGCAGGGTTCCCTTGAGTTCATATTGACAAATCCACAGTGTACAACTGACTTGTAGGTTCCCCGTCAACCTCTGCAAAGCTGTCGATCATGATTCCTCCATCTCGGGGGCCTGACTTGGCAGAGGACTGCTCCTCTTGTGTTGTCATCCTGTCCATATCGGCCCCCCCCCCCCGCCCCCTGAGATCGGCGGCAGAGGCCCTCCTCCGGGAGCCCTCCATGAAAGATACTAGGAGGGTGAGCACCTGGAGGAGGGCCTTCTCTGCGGTGGCGCCCCATCTGTGGAATGCGCTCCCCAGAGAGGTCCGCCTGGCGCCGTCGTTATTTGTTTTTCAGCGCCAGGCCAAGGGCTTTTTAATCAAACAATATTTTAATAATTATTGATTTTATTTATTGGTTTTATAATATTGAGCCAGAATGTATCTGATTTTATATGTATGTATTTTACATGAATTTATTTATTTATGTTGGAAGCCGTCCTGAGGCTTATGCGAATGGGACGGCATACAAAAATTCCAAATAAATAAATACTTCAGTAGTTGCACCACAGTACGTGCTCCAGAAGCATGTTGTGCATTCGAGCAGTACCAGCTGAAGAGTGATGTTTGGTTTGAGGGCTTGCCTACAGAAAGACACATTGGCCGAGTTGGGCCCGGCACCTGCAAGAGCCACTGCCAGTCTGTGCCAGCAGCACTGAGTGAGGGCTATTGGTCTGATGCGTCTACGGCGGTGTCCTATGAGCATCGGATATGGGCAGACAGGTTCTGCAGAAAGAGAGAGAGGGGTGCATGTGCTGGTAGTAAGGGCTGCAGAAGAACCTGTGCAGACACGCTTTTTAGTGTGTACTAAAAATGTTGGGGGGGTACCTAAAAATGTGACCCCGGTTGCAAAAGCCCCACGATCGGTGTATCACGCAGAGGACTTTGCCACACTCCCAGGCTCCGTTCTGGTGCAGGTTCCCTATACCATATGGAGCTAAGGTACTGAGGGAGGTAGAATTACACATGCTAATCATTTTCAAATATTGAAAATTTCTTTAGACTCTTCAGTGGTGGTAGATTGAAGCAACATTGTTTTATTCTTAAAGTTTTATTCTTAAAGTTCCGGCAAAACTCAAGGAAGAGCCTTTGCTTACTAAGCAGCCAAGTAAACCGTCTGTCTTCAGAACTTTGAAGCAGGTCTGTGCAGGCACTTTTCAAGGATGCTCTCAAGGATACCTGTATCATGTATCCAGGATCTTAGGGAGTGTTAAGTTCTGCATTGCATCCCTTCTCGTCTGCCGTTCTCAGTTGTTGATTGTCCCTTGCCGTGCCCTGTGCGAGGTTTGCAAGTGTCTGATTACTCTGGCGGAAATATTTTGTAACCAGCCCTCAAGAAAGAGCAATTTCCTGAGCCGCCTCTCCCCATTATGCTTTCTTTCATGGGGGTTCTTAAAATATTCTACTTTGTCCTGATTTATCCTGGGGCAGATTACTCTTCAACTCCCTGAGAACAGTAGCATGCAGTTATTTTGTTCAAAATGTTATAACAGCAATCTTACAAATGGCCTTTTTCACATGTGCACATATACATGCGCGCGCACACACACACACACACACACACACTTACACTGTTAGACACCAGCCCTGTCAAAAAACAGCAAGAATCTTCCATGCACTGGACATGCAGTATAAACTCAAGAGTATAATTGGTTTGTTGTCCAACTTGGAGCATCTTCCTTGTGAAGAGTAACTAGTCCAACTTGTTTTTATGGGCCTTTTTAACTTCGGAGAATTTTCAGACCCTTCCTCTGGTTGTAACCTGGATACTCTGGGTGTGTTGTTTACCTGAGCGCTGGTTACTTGGTGTGCTGCAGTGTTCATGTCTTTTGACACGTAAAACGTTAACCACAGGTTAAGGTTGCCAAGTGCAAAGCAAAACATGCGATTGCAGGCTTACACGAAACCCCCTGGATCGCATACTGAGAAGAGGTCACTTACTGCTGGAGGGCCACAGTGAACCTAAGAAATCTTCGGAAGAGGCTCCTGCCTTTGATTTGTGTTTCGATCCTTTAGGGGGAAGTAACACTGAAAACACAGACACGGTTTGCTCAGCCTAGAATTAAAGATGCTGCGACACCCTGCCAATTGCCCTTCTTGCCAAAAGGCAGCGATGCCATGATTAATCTTTCTTCTCTCCCCCTCCTTCTGCAACCAGGCCTGAAGAATAACCCAGACCTTAGAGTGGTGCTTCTCTTTGGGTACAACACCTGGAAGACGGGGTCCACACGGTTTCTGCAGCAAATAGTGAATCGCCTGAATGAAAAAAGCATAGTCTTGGCTGGGGGACACGTGGAGAGGTTTACGTCCCCAACGTCTGAAAAGTGGGTATCGGCAGGGACGTGGGACCTCTTGGTGCTCGGGCATCACTGGAGCCCCGTATTACATTGTTCAAGGACAGTGAATGGTCGACTGTGCAGTGTCTAGTCAATTTGGCTGTCCTCCGTTTCTGAACGTCTCAGTTGCAACTCTCCCCCGGTGTCTTTTGTTCCTGGTCTACTCAGGTCGCTGAGGCTGGCAGTGGTCCCTTCTAATATGGCCCAGGCAACATCTGGCCCTGCAGAAGGCGCTGTTCTGCAACACCCATCATCCTTCATTGTTGCCTGTGCTGGCTGGAGTTGCATTCCAGCCATTCTTGGAGGGCCACGTGTCTCCTGACCTTGTTCTAGTCCACGTCGTGTGTTCCTCCATGCTCAGACAGCGGGCCATGGAAGTGTTCTTCCCCACACGCTCAGACCTGCCGTTACTCTGCAGTAGTGGAGTTCAGGGACAGACTGCCCTTGGACTTGAAAGCCGCACTTGCCCGCCATGATTGACAATCGCTAGTAGCACTCTCCTTCGTGAATTGAAGCCGCATTCGCATCTTGTGTATTTGTATTGTGTTGTCTGCAGGAGCTTTCCTTTGGCGTAACTAATTGCGTCAGTCAATTTCACTGGGTTCTGAGAAAAGACGAGGAGGGAAATTTCCTGTCTGCTTTCATTGTGCCATCCCGTAATTATAAACCTCTGGCATGTGTTTGTCCTGGCTAGTTGTTTTTCCCTTATACTAAAAAAGTGTTTTAGTCTTTCCTCATAGAATGCGATGGCCGTGACTTCCCATATCCAAATTGGCCTTTCCACTCTATAGTATCCCTTTTGAGTCGCTTGTGGTACAAAAGGGATTAAAACTTTACTCCTCTAACCTGGACTGTATGCTCCTGTATGTGGCAGGAGATAATGAGCTCACTGTTTTTCACTGGCTTGGAGGTGAATGATGTGGGCATAACAGGTGAAGAGAGGGCAAGGTTATCAGTCTGAGGGCGACCTTTCGAAGACACAGCCAGCCTATTTGCTGTTTGAGCAATAGTTCTAGACTGTGGAGATGATGTGGTTCCAAAAGCTCAGGGAGATACTAAGGTGCCTGACTCCTTTGTAAGATTAATGATTATGTTTGACAGAGACTCTTAAGGAGATCAACATAGAAAAATGTGTTAAAGCACTGATTGCAGCGATGGGGGGGTGGGGGGGATAATTATTCCATGATAACTGCAAAGGGCTTTTTAAGGCTGTCATTGGATTTGCTTTGCCATTTGGGGTGAAGATTGGTACACACAGGCTGTGGTTGCAATACAAAAAGTGATATTCAGAATGCTGTGATGAATTTCAAGCTGCAGTGTAGAAACCGCTTTGATTTGGCTTGGCTTGGCTTGAGAGCCATAATGCTCAGCAGAGTCAGAATCTGATTCTGTCTTACTCTCTTGCCAATGCTAAGGTGGTGCTGGCATGTATGAGGGCGGTCCGTTTCCATTCTCTGGTGAAGGTGATGCAGAAGATGCTGCCTGAGATCATTGGTTGCTGGACAGTTTGCTCAAAAATGCACCTAGAACTAGCTTTCCAGCCCCTGTACTAACTGGTTCACCCTTCCCTTTCCAAGGAATTCCGCTCTGCTGTGCCGGCGCTCTCCAAGCTCACCCAGATATTCTGAGCTTTCTAAATCTCTCGCTGTATGCTTGGCACGGGTAAAGAATAGAGGGCTTTTGAACTGCTGGCAATCTCTGTTTAAATGGTTAACGCACGCCGTATCGCAATCCGCCCTGTTTCTCTTCCTCCATTTAGTCTGATGAAATGTTTTGGGTTTCTAAATGACAATGCTAATTCTCTGTGCACCAACCTGCCTTCCGCTGGCCCTGCAGGTCACAAGCACCTCTTCTGATCCCTTGAGCCTGGCTCTGGCAGTTGTCGAAACGGCATGTCCCTTTGTAGTAAGGCGATACTATTACACTGTGTCCGCTCGGGGTAGGGTACAGCAGGCGCAGGAGTCCTCTCAGGTAAATTGCTGTCCAGTCCCAGCTTTATTGCAAATTATACAAAAAGGAGGTCGAATTTTCACCATGTCTCGTCCTTGTGAAATTTATTTCGATGAGACACCACACTTGCGCACAGTAGTTGATGCCCTAGCATTAATGTGCAGTTAGTACAACAGACAGTCGCCCTTGGGGGTTTTTTGCACTGCAGTCGTGTGATATTCCGGCACATCCTCACCCAAGGCCGGCATTCTGCGGATCAACACAGAGCCCATCTTCCCTGCAATAGGCCGGAAAGGATCGGTCCATTCGAAGCCAAGCGTCATTCCAAAATGTGGCTTGTGGCAGAGGGCATGTGTGTACTCCACCTGTTTACCTAAACATGAGTGCGTGCCCGTTGTGGCGCTTGTGTTCATTTTTGAAGTGTAGAATTTTGGCAATGACCCCTCTATATTTATGTCACGGTGCTGATATTGGCACCATTTGGAGCTAATAGGCCACCACAAGCTTTGTATTCTATCAGCTAAAAAGAGGAACTCCGCAAGATACAGGTTTCTAATCTGCTGTTCAGATGCCGGTTGCTCTTCAGAGGGGAAGAATGCAGAGCCCCTTCTTCCAGGGGATGTCTCTTAAATGTTAAGTCACATGGAATTCTTGTCCTCCCAGACAGTTGCAAAAACTATATGAATCCCTCAATCATATAGTCAGATTTGGAAGAGAAAAATATTGGTAATATTGGCACATTTGGCCAAGAGGGCATCAGGATAAAGATCTGGTAAAAATGCAGTTAAAATGCCAATATTCCGTGCATTTTAATATAAATGTGCTTTTATTGCAATTCAGATTTCCAGCAGAAACACAAAAATTACCTGACAATTACACCATTTCCCCTTTAGGTTAAAAGTTTGCCAGGACAAAGGCAAACAACTCTAACATTTGAAACAGTTCACCTTTTTTTAAAGCAAAGCTACAAATGTCTTCCCCGGGAATTCAGGCATATCTAATGGAAGTAAATTTATGTACTGATGGATACAATTCTAGATCTCCACCTCACTTAAGCAGCAAAGCAACAGCCAGGCTGCACAAATCAAAGGTTTATTCTCTTAGAAGACCAGTTGCTTTCCAGAGTTACTGATCTGAGTGTTTTGTTTTTGTTTTGCCAGCTTTTAACCTTGAGTACCAGAATCTGCATCTTTTAAAGGAAAGCTGAAATTTTCAGAATTCAGACAGGTTAATGGCCTTCAAACAAATCCTCCCGGAAAGCTATATATTGTCACCCCTGACGTACTGAGGGGGGAAATCTGTTCCCTGTGTTTTGTGGGACTCTTGACTTGATGTTCTGGGAACAATGATCTTTGCATTGCCTTGTTCTTACCGCATGTACAGTTTTGTTGCTACTGCTGTATTCTGACCGAACTGTATCAATCCGGCACTTCTTTCTTTTTCAGTAATACTCAGGCTGCCGAGTCCTGCGGTGTTGTCGGTTTGGCATTTAGTGGACCCCAAATCCAGAGCGCCACGGTTCTGTTAGATCAAGATGTAGTAGATGAGCGGACAGCAGAAGCTGCGATGCAGCGCCTCAAGGCCGCACACATTCCCGAACACAACAGCCTCGGCTTTATGTTTGCGTGTATCGGCAGGGGATACCAGCATTACAAAGTCAAGTCAAATCTGGAAGCAGATGCTTTCAGGAAGTTTTTTCCGAACACTCCTTTGTTTGGCTTTTTCGGACACGGGGAGATAGGATGCGATCGCATTGTGACTGGGAACTTTATACTCCGTGAATGTAATGACGCCAAGGATGACTTGCTGCACGGTTACACCACTGTAATGACACTTATACACCTGGGCTCAGCTAAAGGAAGCCAAGTTTAAACCCCTGTTTGTAAACATGCACCAGGATTGCCAGCCTGCCTTAGTGTCGCAAGGCAAAACGGTTGGCTCTTCCAACAAGTACTTTATGTAGAGAAAGTGATAATTGCCCCATTGACTTTCAGAACTTCTAGCTGCCATCAGATGAAATTAAGTGAGGAAGAAGACCTCATCCAAGTTTCTAAAAGTGCACATGTGTCCGGACTCCGGTAGAGGCTTCCTGATTTTATTCCTAAAGTTGGAAATGACATGGCATTAAGTGCGGGCTTGATCACATTCTGATACTTGAAACTGCAGTGGTATTTCTGTTCGTGGACAAATTTGGCATACTGATGAATAAGGTCTTACAGAGCTCTGAAGCTGCTGCTGCGTCTTTTATTTCCTGGCAAGCTTTTCTCTCAAAGTGTAAAGCTGAATGGCCAAATTCAGTCCTTTATGCGGTAAAATCTCTGCCTGTTGAGTTAAGGTAATAAAATACATGTACAGGGCTGCCCACATTTAAAACATGAAGTACTTTTCTTGAATACCTGTACCATATTTAAGATAATCTTAAACTTCTTTGTAAAACACTGGACTGGAATCTGCTGTTGGACTGCTGCTTATACATAATAGCAGTTGCCCAATTGCTTTTTATGTTTGCCTGTCTAATAATTTGAATTTTGGGGGCTCCTGATGTGATGCATGATCGCTGTCATGGAGGGACCGCAAGGCTCACCCAGTTTGTTTGTGTGTGCGTGTTTGGTTGTCTGAACCTGTTTGTGCCGCATTGGCAATTGCCTGAATGGGGCACAGCAAGGGAAGTAGAGCCCGCTGTTGGGGCTTGGCAGCTGTGCTCTGTGTCATCCTGTGTATCTGCAGAAAGGGGATGCTGGGTCTCCCAGTCCTGCATGCCCTGTTTACCTCGAAATAGGTCCTGTTGACTCAGGAGTGGGTGTAATTTTCCATCTTTCAACCCCTAGCTCTTAAGGTACCCTGTAGAAAATAGTGTGTCTAAAGACAACAAGGAGAATGGTGAGCATAACAGCCAGAGGGCACGAAGAATGCTGAGTGAATGTAACTTAATTGATCGAATCTTCTTCCAGGGCAGACATCAGCAGCCTTTAAAGGGAAACCAAAACCACTGCTTGTATCCACGTAGGAAAGAGAAATAGCAGCAGATCGTAATGATGCAAGAAATAAGCCTGGTGCATAGCTTTCTGCTTTTCACTAAAACCAGTGAAGATAATTCATGATTTAACGTAACCTCCTGGACTTTGATTTTTCCCCTCTGGTTGCAAGATGTTACCAGTGAAAAGCACCGGGCCAGAGAATGGGTGACACAGTGTTCAATAACTGGAGGAGAAATTGGGGAGATCAAGGTTATGATAGTCAATTCACCGTTGAAATCAGAAGAGGCTCGGAGCACTAACATTACTTGAATGTGGTTGCATTTCTGAGCACAAACGTGGAAACCATAATTTTAAAAGGTGATGTTTTTCTTGTTGGACTGGTGTATTAGCAATCCTGTTCATGTATACTGTGTTTTGGACTTAATGCCGAATGGAGAATTCCATGTGATCCATGATGCAGTTGTCATTCTCGGTTTACTGGACTGTGTTTTTCACAAATGGATTCTGAAAACGCTGCTGAAGCATTTGTCTTGTTCTGTTTAATGCACAAAAGCATACTTCCTGTCAGAGCTTCAGGAGAAATTCAAGGATTTGGAAAAAGCTTCCCAAATATTCTCCGAGTTTGATGTGGCAGTCTTACTGCAACACTCAGAGTTCTAATAGCTTAAAAGGATGCATGTGGAAAACTTAATATGATGAGGTGTTCTATGGATGAAGGGCATAGCTATGCTGGCTTTTATTTTATTGAGTTATATAGGCATTTACCGGCTATCTTTTAGGGCATAGTGACTTGTGTGATTATAAAAACATAAAAATATATAATACAATTAAAAGCAAAATCACAAGCAATTATCTGACTGCAGCACAAAGTTACTCAAACAGCCTGTTAACAAACCAGCAGATAGAAATCCTAACTATTTCAAACCAACTATTAAATTTTAGATCTACCATAATTGCAATGTCAGGAAAAAGCCACCTGCCATAAATGCGTTCTTAACACAGATATGCGCCCAGTGGAAGCTGTTCGTGCCTCCCTGGGCAGCTTCCCAAAACTTGGGTGCCACATTATATTGTGCCCTGCCTGCAGACAAAGCAACTTGCAAGCAGGGTTTCACTGTAGTTCAGGCTCGGTGTAAGGCTCACTTTCAACGTATCTTTCTTGTGTGCGTGTTTAGCACAAGGACTGTTCACCTGTTGTGCCCGTCCAGGCGGCCTTCTCCAAAGTAGTGCCCTCGTGCCTGCCGATTAGGCGGAGCTAACTTGGCTCAGCCTGTGAGGATTTACTCTGAGGCAGGCCTAACGCTAGTGCAGGTTCATCTTGGCACAGGCAGCCCCTTTTGCCTTTCTCGCTTTCTTGCCTTCCTAGGGGTAGCCCATTTTTACCTAGAAACAGAGTTGGAGAAATGGTGTTCTGTTGCACCAACCCTGCTACACCAATCCACCCAGTCGAATAGATTATTGAGGCTGTGGCTTTATCACGAGTTGAGAACTGGGGCGAAAGCAGATTTATAACACTGCCCTTTAAGCTACTTCGGCTGCTGGTTGAACAGTAAAAAGGGACGTGAGAGGCATCCTGCTCCATGCATGGCAGAATCTCTGTAGAGCTATTTGAAAAGCAAGACAGTCTTGTACAAATAGTTTACAAAGAAAAAAGTGGTTGATTTGGCACCAGATACAGTTTTCCACATCCTTGTAATTGGTTTTATCCTGGTCAGTGCTGAATTGGAGACATAACGTTGTAGAATGTTGTAGATAACATTCTTCCTTGGTCCACAAAGAGATCCTGGGGTGGCGGATAGGGGTGAAATAGACATGCAAGCAAGAGGGACAGTCTAAGAGCCAGTGTTGTGCAGTGTCTTGACACTGAACTAGGATCTCTTAAGGAGTGAACTGCCCATCGTCTTATAAAATAAGCATTTTTGGTGCCCACCTGTACTGTATTTCAGCAGGACTATTTTCTAGCATATCTCGAGATGGAACTTGTAAACAGCACACACACTCTAGTGGGAAATGATCTGGTTTGGGGGGCTCTTCCCCTAGAGAATACCATCACTTAAATTGAAAATTCTAGCAGGGTAGATTTTATTTTATTTATTTCTTTAGGAGACTTCTATGCCGCCCCATTCGCCGAAGCCTCGGGGCGGCTCACACCCATAACATAGATGTCTTGTGCCACAATCTTATGCATGCTAACTTAGAACTAAGAAATGGGAGCAGGGGATCGTTCAGCATTAGGGAAGGCCACTTTTTAAAAATCAAGACAAAAGTAGGGGGGGGGAGTCTTTTTAATCTTCTGTGTAAATATGGAGCTAAGTTGGCCACTCTTCCCGTTAGAGAAAGAAATACGTTTCTAACTGGCATAGAAAAATTCAGCAGGTGTGGATTATCTTGGCTACAGTGGTGAGCAAACCTTTGCTCAATCCCTTCTCTGCGTATATGAGCTCTTCCTAGGAAGAGAAGCATTTACGGTGAGGGCATGAAATTCCTCTTGTTTGTGTTTAATTTTTCCCACTGAGGGGAGAGCGGAAGGCAACCATCTCCTTAATGCTTTCAAGCAAGCAGGGGCTTGTGGGTTTCCCCGTTCAGTTGGAATGAATAGAATTCAGCAGTTTCCTCCAATCTCATTATTATTCATATTTTAAAAGTTACCTTCAAGCAGTTGGGAGTGCAGATATTTCCTGAGGTTACATGCGGTTTCATGTATGGACCATTTTCTTATCTGACCTGTAGAGCCAACGGATACCATGCAAAAGAACTGATTTTAAACTCCCGATGCTCTTTTGAGAGAAATTAAATAGGTTTTTAACAAGAGAAGAATAAACTTTTATTTACAAATGGAAATGTTTTGTGAACTGATTTTGGTATAAACTACTGCATTTCTTGAAGATTTCATATTTTAAATTTAGTTCAAACAAAATGGAGGTTTCACACTTTCTCTACATTAAAATGGTTTTGCCAGTCCTGTAGCAATTTTAGCTTGTGGAAGCTTATAAAAGATTCCTTCCATTACATCTAATACGATTGCCTTCCACATAAAGTTCGATTCAACATAAAGATCTTTTTATAGTGCATGCCTAGGGATATATAAAAATATAGATTTCTGGTGAATGGATGGAACATATGAACATCTCAACAATAGTGTTTTGGCGTGATACAATAACATATTTCTATTATAATGGATAAAATTGAATCTAACCCATCTCTTGATATCTTTACATACCTCTGATATTCTGTGACTGTCAACTGTGAGAACATAATAATTGTATATGTTTATATATTTGGTCTTGTAAAATATGAGCAATATTGTCTTCTTTCATATAATCTGGGAATAGTGCTACGGATTCCTGAAAATTATATAAGATAATGGTTTTATTAGACAGTATTTTTATTTATTTAAAATATATCTTGCCTTTCTACCATTTTATCTTATTTTTATTAAAATAATACAATATATATATATATATATATATATATATATATATATATTCACAAAAAACAGGTACAACCAATTAACCTAACACAGAGAACCAGCAAAAGTGAGAAAATAAAAATGTGCAGCATCCAATTAGCAAGTCATTTTGCACATGTACTTTAAGAATCCATTTTGAAAACTGAATAATACGTAGCATTTTTCAGAAAAAAACTGGTTTTTCAGCTCAGCAAGATTGAATTATAATGAACTTACTCCTCTAAATGCAGAATATTGAAAGTTTCAGAGGGCATGATCCTGAGTCTGGGGATGTGGGTCAAAGGATAGGTCGGCGTCCCTACTTGGACCTCCAAAAAACGGTCCCAAGGTTGGAGCTGGGGTCTAACCTTGGAAGGCCGGCCACCCACCACGGCAGCTGGCAAAGACCTTTCCATGCTGGCTGGACTTTGAAGAAGGAGCACCTTTGGAGTCTGCATAGGCATCGATCCAGAATCCTGGAAGTACCTTGGCCTCTCCTCACGAGGAAGGGAGACAAAATGAGCTTCCAAACATGCTTGAAGGGGAGGATGGGCCCGATCCTAGCCTCACTGCTTCTCTTGCGTTCTGTTTTCCTTAGCCACGTTTGTTTACCGGGCTTATCCGTATTGTTAGCTGGCTTGAGCACAATTTTAGTGGAGAGGTGGGATAGAAAGTTAAATAAATAAATATATAAATAAATGGTCCGCATTCTGGGTATGCCTCTCAAGCAGAAATTCAGGTTGTTAGATAGGCATCCTCTCTGCCTTTCTGATAACAACAGGACTTTCTGGTAATAGTGTGGCACTGTGAATAGACTCCTGTTTTACTTCCAGTGTCAAATTTGGTATATTAAGTTACTAAACAGAAAATTTGTTAAGAGTTCTCAAAGTTCACAAATCGGGTAATTGCAAGCAATGGTTCTTCCTTCTTTGAAATCGAGAGGACCCCCTTAAATGCAACTGATTTTTTCCCCTAATTTATTCTATCAATACCCATTTGCTGATGAGCATAAGACCTATTCGGCTTGGAAATCTTCTCTGTTGTCTTCTTACCCTGTTCTCCAATATGCCGTAGCATTTTTATGGCTGTTTCAGTGTGTGTTCCATCCCTTCCTGCGTTGATTATTCAGTTACCTCTGTGAAGATGAAAATCAGGAAAGGGGAAGTTGTTAAGATATTTCTCTAAACTCTTCTTCCTCCAGGATTACATTGGAAAAGTACTTACTGTTGCAACTATTGCTGTCATTTCCGTCAAGCAGGTTGTCGCCACGCTCTATTGAACTGGTCCGTGGAATCTGGCCCTTTCTGGCAAAGTTGCAATAAAGAGGAAAAGATTATTACAAAAGACAAGCAGTTAAATGGAATTATAGGATGCATTTAGTGGCTTTCATGATTACAACTGAAGAGTCCTTTACATCTTCACATTTGAAACTACATGCAACTCAAGTTGGTTTTCTTGGTCAAAGTCATCATCTGAAGCGGAATCGCTGGTTGTTGATGCTAATTCAAACACTCCTTCAAACAAGCATAGATTGTGTACCTTGTGAAGGAATCATGGTTAAGTCAAGAGCTGTGCTTCTAAAGTTCATCAACTGTACGATGCAGTTTAGTCTTTAAAGTGGGGCAGATTACAGGCAATCCTAGGTCTCAGTCCTTACAATACCTTCCACAATTTTTCCTAACTGCAATTGAAGTAATAAAGCAGTTTTGCTGACACAGCAGGCCAAAACAACACCTTTATTGGACAATCCACTGTGTCTGGCCCTTGGATAGATGTAGGTGTCAATGAATCAAAATGCTACTCTAATAAACATTTTAGTAGCTCTCAGTTTCATGTAATAACTTTTCCAGGCAACCAAGTAGGGCATTCTGAAACAGTTTGGAAGTCATTTCAGGAAACCTACTTCAAGGTTAAGAGCAGTTTAGTTTTACTGCTGTTTTACAGCTTGCTGCAGCAGTTGTAGAAACTGCTTTTACATTGCCTTGAACTTTAAGGCAGACGGTTCGGAAATTATGTAAGTATCTACAAGGCAGAGCTATTTTACCTGTTCGACTGCTGTACTGACATCATACAAAACACTTCACTATAATAGCTTCGGTTAATAGGTGCTATAGCAAGGCTTTTTAAAAATTAGAGAAAGATGTAAAGAGGACATTTCCACTAATAATAAAGAGACTTGCATGCATTATAGATCACTGATTAGAGAGAAAATCTGGCCGTTAGAATCGCGAGAGGGACTTCACTTGTCCTTGCATGAAGATTTCTACTTTACCTGCAAAGGAAGAAGAAAGCTCCTGCTACCAGGACACTCAGGACCACAACCGAAGCAAGAACCGCTGCAAAAAGCTCACTTCTTGAATGGTGCTTGATGCTGGGGAGCAAAATTTCCTCACAACGAGCGCCTGTGTAATTCTCAATACACCTATGACACAAAGTTTTACATTAACTGAATAACGTGTGAATCGAAACACATTTTTTCTTCCTCTTCCCTGTGCAGAACGTCAGTCTATAAATTCCTCCGGCAGCTCTTTGTCTTGTCCCTGAAAGTCCACGTTCATGATAGTTTGAGAGCCAGAGGAGCAGCACAGGTTGATGTAGCGTAGCAACACAGTACCAGGTTATTTTCCAGAAAGACTTGCCGGGAAACCCAGGAGCACGGATTTGCATAATGCGTGGTTTAAGTTACCTGCTGGCTTAAATTCAAGTGCGCTTATTTTACAGGGTTGAGAAAAATAAGTCAAACCAAAGATCATGACAACTTGGAGGGCTGGAAGCAATGGAAAGAAAGGGTCTGATGGGTGACTCAAAAGCAATTTTAAAAAGTAGTAAACAATAGGGCCAAATTGGATAAAATTCCCTTGGATGAGAATATAGTAGAATGTATGTGCTATCTGATGGTAAATGCCTCGGCAAAGAGGGAAGTTGGTGGTGCCAAAAAGGTAATAGAAGTTGGGCCCAGATGGGCCTTGGTGGAGAGCTTGTCCCATAAGAACAGCCACGCTGGATCGGGCCAATGATCCATCCAATCCAGTCTCCCAGTTGTTGGAAGCCCAGACTTAAGATAGGATCGTGGCTCCATTGTGGTTGGAAGAGGCCATGCAAGGCCGGAGCTGGTGTTAATTATGTGTAGACCTCCTGGTCCTGGTTGTCAAACTGGCTGGCCCGTTTCACACAAGTTGCTGCTTTTGGATGGTCTTGGACTGGCCTTAATGGGCAAAAGTAGGTTTCCAAAAGGGATCCACATTTTTTGCCATTTTTTGCCATTTTTTGTTTTTTATACAAACAGAATATACTGAGCAGTAATTATTAACTTGTGCTCACAAAATAGTAATTGTGTTGGGAAAAAATGCTGGTATGAAGGGGACTTGGGACTAGGCCTTCTTGTAGTTTTCCTTCTTTCCAGTTGCATCGCAAGTCTAAACGGCGTTTCATGAGTAAACCAACCCCTGCTGTTTTCTCTCTGATTAGAAGTATTAATCAGAATGTATATTATTATTTTTAGAACACTGCTCTAATCAGAAAAATCAGGGGGTTTTCTTCGTTAACGTGCCTTGTATGTAAATACCAAATCCTGTGCAGGCATCCTCTAAACTTTGCTCAGGTCAAGGAGCGGTGGGTCTTATTACCCTCGCTAGAATTTAAACCCTCATAACACCGCAACTGAAACGAAGCAATGCTAATTCAAAACTTTTATGGAAATAATTATCTGCTTCACAAAAACGGCCTTTCTAGATAAAGGCATTGGTAGCTTTTAATGTGGCATCTCGTAATTCCTTGTACTGATCTTCATCTTTCTCTCCCAATGACTGTTCTCTCCTTTATCATCCTATCATTCCCAAAGACCATGCGCTAGTTCCTTGTTTCATCAGGCCTGTTATATCCTGAATAATTTGGCATGTTGCAGCTCTGATGTGAGCCATGTCTGTTCCACTTTGAGATGTTGTACTTGAAATTGTTCTTTCCCGTTTATAAAATCTACAATTTGCATTGAAAACTAAAAATGCCCAGAATAGACATAACATCTGAGATGTTCTCTCTTGCTTTCCACTCTCATTCTTCTTACAGGTATGCAAATTAGCACCCACTCCCTATGCATTTCCCCTGTTGTCCAGGTATCTCAAATGGATTATGCAGCATCTGATTCAGTGCCCAGATTAGTATACTGGAAAAAAGTATAATGATTCATGTACGCATTTGTATACTAACATTAATAGTCTGGTTATAAACGTATCGTTTCTGGGATGATCAAGTATCTGCCAACCTCCTGTTTATTAACACTGTCAGGAACTTAAAGAAACACCTTTCAACAGTGGTATTCTCATTTAGGAGAAGCAAAGGGCGAGTCCCAATCTGTTACTGCAAGGTAATAGTTCCTTGACAAAAGAAACAGTAGGTTTCAATTATACATGAATTATTTTTTCACAAACTAGAATAAGGCCCATTAAGACTGCATGACTGAATGCTCTCCCTTACAAAGCAAAAACCACGAATGTAGAAAATTAGATCCCAGGGAGTGGGAACCCTTTTTGACATCCTTCCTTCCTATGTGATGGGAATTTTTTGGCTTGTTTGTTTGTTTTTCTGATACCTTCAGTCACGAGTCCCCACCTGCAGTCCGAGGTGGAAAAAACCCAGTCCTGAGGGTACCGTTTCAGCACAAAATAGACCAGAGTCTTTACAACTTGCCAAGAAAACATAAGGTGCTTATCCTGTGATGAGGAACTGTTTTCTGAGGAGCAAGGGAACTTATCAGGAGCTGCTCTAAGTGTGCAGAACATGAGAGAACCCCATGATACAAACACCAACACAATGGCGGGGGGGGGGGGGACTGGTGAGGCTGGTCCGTTGGTGAAGAGGGCCAAGCGGAAGAGCTATGTGGGTGGAAAGTGGGCAGTTCTGGGGGGAAAGCGTTGATACATCCCTCATTGCTCCAATTCAAGGCCCACGTTCCTGTTGTCTGAAGAACTTTGCACCAGCCCCAAGACTGAGAAACCCTGCTTTGCCCTGGGCATTTTTTCCTGGGTCTGCAAAGCCTGAGTGGGGGCAAACCCCACACGTCCCCCTGCTGGAGCAGCCCCTGCTTCCAAACCCCATGCCCCGTGGAAGAAGCCACTGGAGGTTGGTTGGTTGGTTGGTTGGTTGGTTGGTTGGTTGGTTGGTTGGTTGGTTTAAAGCTTTTTTAGACTATCCCTTACTGTAGTCTCGGGACAGTTTAACAGTAAGGCAAAAATAAAAGAAACCACAGCATCCTAATCAAATTCTTAACCAGTCAACAATAAAACCCATATTAAAATGACAGTCAAACCTTAAAATATTGGGGAAATAAAAAAGTTCTAGCTTGGCGACAAAAAGAATAAAGTGACGGCACCAGATGAACTTCTCTGGGGAACGAATTCCACAATCGAGGTGCCACCACAGAGAAGGCCCTTCTCCGGGTAAGCACCCTCCTAATCTCCTTCAAGGAAGGCTCCTGGGCCTCTGCCCCAGATCTTAACGGGCGGGCAGGGGAGAAGGGCCTCTGCCCCAGATCTTAACGGGCGGGAGGGGAGAAGGGCCTCTGCCCCAGAACTTAACGGGCGGGCAGGGGAGAAGGGCCTCTGCCCCTGATCTTGAGGGGTGGGCAGGGGAGAAGGGCCTCTGCCCCAGATCTTAACTGGGGGGCAGGCACATATGGAAGGAGGTTGCTGTCATCAGTGTGAACCGCCTAAAGCAGCGATCTTATGCGCAAGTAGCGTGCGAATCCCACTGAACTCAGTGGAATGTCCTTCAAAGGAAGCACGCTATGGATTGCATTGTATGGCCTTCTGAAATCAGTGGGCTGGACTAGGGCTAGTGTTAGCAGCAGTGAGTAATTCTTTCCACTGATTTATCCTGTATTTTAAGGTGGCTGCCCTTTTTGGGTTGGAGTCATTTGCTTGAGTGTGACTGCTGCTAAACTCAAGGGGCTTATTTTAAAATAATGCACTGCAGGCAGAGATGCTAATCTTGCATTGTCTGTATGGAATTTGCTACCTGAACGGGTGACGTCTCTCTGACTTTAGAAAGTCCATCTTTAAAGCCACCTGTTCGGTCCTGTCCCGTCCCTCCTAAATCCCTATTTCCTTCCCAAAGCAAGCATGAATTATCAATTTCCCTGTTTGTGATCCATGTATTAATTTATTCAAAAGAATGCTGTAATTTTACCGTGCACACAAATCCACAGTGTTTTTCTTCCACCGCATGTCTTGAAAATGACCTCATTTCACTGACATTTTTCTCAGCGTGACTTCCCTTTTTACCTTGCTAGATTCCTTAGACCGCAATTAGACTAGCAGTGAGCGCTTGAGCCCCCTACCGTTCTTTATTTAAGGCTCTTGTCTGATAAATTAACAACTGCTGTTCCAACACAGCACTGGATCTAGAGGGCCTCCCTTGACCAAGCTGTGTCGCGTTTCCTAGTCCCAAAAGCCGAACGCTGAGCTGAATCAGCCACGGTGCAGGTACAGTGCTGACGGGAAGAGGAGATCCGTCACCCGGCGGACTCTCCATCTTCACAAACACTGCCGCCAGGGCCAAATCTTTTCATGCAAGTCTGCCTGTGACACACGTGACGTGGGATTCAGTGGGGACTTAAAGTGTGAAAGCCACAGATGAGCTTAAGGGATCGGCTCTCTCCTTGCTGGCGTGTGAGAGGACGGGTGTGTTTGGGTAACACAGTCTGTGACAGCTTTGAAGCACAAGCCAAGCCTTTGGTCGTGAGAACTTTAGAGCAGGGCAAGGGGCTTTAGGCCTGGTTAGGGTCCCAATCCTGTGCTTCCCAGAGGACTATGGCCTCCTCCCCGGACCTCATTCCCTTTCTCATAACTTCTTGATTATCTGTTTTTTTGTGTGGTTTTTTTTTTTGGGGGGGGGGGTTATTTCTTTATTTAAATGTGTATACCCACCCTGTATGCAAAAACCTCTCGAGGCAGCTTACAAAAATCAAAAACAGATAATCTAACAAGTTAACAATAATGAAAGAAATGGTTAAATATACACATAAAACCAGTCACATTTCACAAAGAAAAGAAAACCGAAACAAAATCAACCTCAAGGATAAGAACAAAATCGAAACCAAAAAGTGACTGTGAAGTTAAAACCTGATTAAAATTCCCAATATTTAAAATGATGGGGAAATAAAAAGGCTTCCCACTCGTACCCTAAGCGAAAAAGTGGGTGGTGGAGAAAATGTGAGATGGAATGAGACGAGATGCAAAGTCTGGAAAAGGCTTCCTTAAGCAGAAGGAAAAGTTGGAATCATGATCAAGATAAGACACAGTCAGACCACCCAAGTTAATTCCAATGCCATTGTTCCACTTCAGGTATATAAATAGCAACCAAATGTTGATGGACCAACTTCACTTTGCTAAGCTGCATTTTACTGAGAACTTCCAGCATTTACTAAAACCGCCTTCCACCTGGTGCCTTCCAGCCATGTTGCAATACGACTGCCATCACCTCCAGTGAGTCCTGTAACTGGGTGTGCTCTTTGGAGATGCCATTTGAGAAAAAACTCAAGGCGGAGAACTTCAATCAAGTTCCGGGTAATCAGGAGAAACAGAGATTAGATCTCGCGATCCGTTCCCAGGCTGAAACTAGAACCTTGGTAAGTTGGTGTCAGCCCCAAGCGAGTATCAATTCGTCGTTCTGGGATTTAACTAAGCGATGCCTCTCCTGCTTCTGTTCTTACTACTACTATTACTATGGTCTACCAAGAGATAGCTGAGCATAAACAGAATCTTTCTTGTTTAAACTTAGTATTCACCCGGACTAAGAACGTGTGGGAACAAAATACTCCCAATCTGGATGGGATCCAAACAGATCCTAAAAGACGTTTCACCTGCTTGGCAAGATGGGATTGCTACAAGGTGGTGTAGTGATTACGTGTGTGAGTCAGGGACTTGCGTGATCTGCGCTTTAGTCCCTACTCAGCCATGGGGTGATTTTGGGCCAGACGAACCTCTCAACCCAAGCGTCTTCAAAGGGTTGTTTGAGGGTAAGATGGCGGGGATGAGCAGAGCTACCGAAGCCATCTTGAGCTCCTTGGGAGGGATATAAATATAATAAATAAATAGATTCAAATATATTGGTAAAGGGAATATTACATCATTAATTTAATTTCTATTTTACTTGCTTGTTGTAAACCGCCCCGAGACACTAGACATGGTTTATAAAGGCTTCCAGAACTCACGCTACACGGACTCCTTCGTAACCTCTCTCCTGAGCTACTCTTTCAGTGGTGTGGCTTAATCTACTTCTACACTACAGAAATCTTTTGCGTCTCCCTTGTCCTCAGAGAAATGAATAAATTGAGAATGCCATAATTGTTCCCTTCCTTTTGCTGTGCTCTGCCAATATAATATGCTCCAATGCAGCAGTGCCTGACCTTTTCCGGTCCTGAAACCTTTCCAAAGACATTTTTTCCCACGGAATCCTAACTCCATCTATGATTTCTAGCACCCACCACATTCTTCTTTCTTTCATCTGCTCCTAACATCGTAGGACGCATAACGTCGTAGGTTTGGAAATAAAAGAGAAAACATTTTAAAAATAATGAATGAACAAACCGATTATATGGTCATATCCCAAATGAATTCTTTCGATTGTTCCCAACACGATGCAACCGAGTCCTAGGAACCAAATGCCGTGATGCATTTTTTCCTGCTTGGAGGCCACCTGACAATCGAATAGCTGGTCTCCTGTGGTTTCATTTTAAAATCCGTTTTAAATGTGATTTTGGGGATTTTTCGCAGAGCCCCTGCGAGGCTGTAGTGGAACCCTGGGATTCCATGGGACACCGTTCCGAAAGCGCTGCTCTAACATTTCTCCTGTATCCTCACCAAATATGCAGCTTCTTTTGCAAGGTTAGCCTTGCCAACCATTTCCCATAGATTGCAATATTGATCCTCGTGGCTTGTAGCTTACCACTTAGACTCTCCCAGGCATCCGAAGCCAGCAACATCTGTTCTCTGTGGACACCAGTCTTTACAACACCATATGGGACTTTCACAAGGCAAACACCTTAAACGTAAACCAATATTTACATGCACCTTACCTGCAAAAAGGACTGGAGATGGTAGGTATAGTGTAACAAATTCCACCATTCAGACAGAATGATCCGTAACTGCTGCCACAGAGTTCTTCATGATCTAAATTTTTTAAAGAAGGATAGATTGACTGTCACTTGCTCTTGTTTGGATGACTCAAATCTGATGATGTGGAAGAATATCTTAAGTGTTAATTAACACCTGCTCCCCTTCCTATTATTTTTTAAACGTGGTGCTGGTATTTCTAAATACGGCAAAAATGGAGAAACCTTGAAGTAACCTTATTCCCAGCACGAAGCAATCCAGAGGGAGAAAAGGACGGGGGTGACTGCCCTGCTGCTTCTTCGGTTCATTTCTTGTTTTAAAGTATGTGCAACTCACTTTCCCAAAAGAAGGACACCCAGGTCTTAAAACTGATATATTAGACCTCTTTGTGGTAAATGCTCAGCACTCCATGCTGGGGGAGAATCATTGGTCATGCATGGGTCAAAACATTCATTGCATGGAGGAGTTTACAATCAGCCGTAATGAGGACATTATCTCAGAAGGAGGGAGATTGTTCACAGAATTCTAGAATCCTAGGAGAGTAGTTGGAAGGGGCCAAGAAGACCATCAGGTCCACCCCCTGCCGTTGCAGGACACCAAGCCACACCCTCCCACTCAGGTGGCCGTCCAGGTTCTTTCTGAATGTCTCCAGTGTGGGAGAGCCCCCCACCTCCCCAGGCAACTGGTCCCACTGTCGTATTGCTCTGACAGTGAGGAAGTTTTTTCTGATGCCCAGCCTGAACCTGGGTTGTTGCAGCTTGACTGGATTATTCCAGGTCCTACACTCTGGCCTCAGCAAGAAGAGAGCTTGACCTTCCTCTTTGTGACAGCCTTTGAGGTACTTATAGAGGGATATCATGTCCCTCCTCAGTCTTCTCTTCTCTTCTCTTCTCTTCTCTTCTCTTCTCTTCTCTTCTCTTCTCTCTTCTCAAGGCTGAACATGGCCAGTCCTCTCCGTCTCTCCTCACAGGGCAGCGTTTGCAAACCCTGGATCATTTCTGTTGCCCTCCGCTGGACCCTTTCTAATTTACCTGCATCTTTCTTAAATCTTGGTGCCCAGAACTGGGCACAGAATTCATCATACACATGAAATACTGAGATTATTAATTAGGCACTGAGACTTTGATGTATAGGACAGGGGTACAAAGGTTTTAAATAAATAAATAAATAACTAGCACCAAGCCTGCGCTTTAGTGACCACCGCACCCATCCAGAAATAAACTGGCCAGGTGATGCCTTAAACTCTGATCCACTTTTGGTGAGGAACTGCAACTAGCTTTGCTTCTGAGTGGCACAGGAGCTGAATGTTGAACCCTGGCAGGATCCCACCCATTCAATTGTTCTTGGAAAGATGAAGAACCAAAAGAAAACAGAGCAGTTTGCTTTAAAAACACCCCAGTCTCTGCAATCTCCTATCTGCATCCAGATGCCCCAGGAAAGATTAGGATCCTGCTGCAGAAGTTAGAAGATGGAAAGGAAGTAGCTTTTTCTCAAAATATTTGCATGTAGTAAATATAAATGAACCAGGAAAATACTCTCCTTCACTTAAAAGATGTTCTCCCACTGAACATCAAAAAATGTGTGAAATTAAAAATACATATAAAGGGATGTAATCTTAAATCCTTAGGATGCAATGAATTGACCAACTTAGCAGCTCTTGTTGGCTCTGCATTATGTTGGTACCTGTGTGAATGAATATTTTGGCAAATGCCTTTAAAAAAGACAAATATTTCATAACTTTGCACATTAAGGCTATGCACAGCTTACAGAATGTGAAAACTTTGTGCTATCTTACAGATTAGGTGTTATAGTCACTGCTTTTTTCTAACACCGTCTGAAAATGGAGCAGCAGAATATCTTTATTTGGAATCATGGGCAGAAGGGGAAATATGCTGCTTTTAAGGTTGGAAAGTTCTGACAACCTATTTCTGAAATGCGTAAAAATCCAGGTAGCTTAGGTCTTCCTTTCCCATACATAACCTCCAGACCTCTCTCTGAATGATTGGTCCAAGTGGAGAAACAGCCAGTAATGGAAATATTACATCCTGAATCTTACAGCAGAGGTAGGAAGCAAGAGGAGGGTAGAGAGGAGCTCAATGCTTTTCCAACGGTAAAGTTGTTTTTATAGCATCATAACCAGATCTGCTTGTTCATCCAGTACTGTACTTTGCTGACAAAATAGACTCATCCAACCTGAATTTCTATCTCTTTTTTTATTCTGATTCTGTGAAGTCTGTTGGAGAAGTTTGAATCTGATACAGAGCCACAGGAGTATGGCCTTTATCGTGACTGAAGGAAATACGACACAACGCAAATTTGGGCTTAGCTTGCTGTGCTGGAGATGTTTACATCCCACACGGACGATGTAATGGTTTGCCAAAGAGGGTTTGAGGCAGCATCTAGAACTAATCTCCGGGCATATATGTTGCTGATATTTCTACACGTTTATGAGTGCTCCGAGCTATTGGCGGGCCTCCTATGATGGCAAAGACTTTTCACAAATGTCGTAAGTGCTGAGCAGGAAGTGTGTTGTGCCATTGCTAAACTGCATATGGCTGCTCCTCAGAAGCGGAAGGTCAGCGTAGCTGGGGGAAATTCTTAAAAAGAAAAGGTGTCCTCTGTGCTCAAAGAAGACGGGAACGTTACATGGACGAGCTGCAGAAGGTTGTGATAGGGGCCAGAGAAGTCGTGGGTGGATAACAAAGATACTCATAGGCAGTTGGAATGATAAAGATCATGAAGAATCCAAGGACTAAAAAGACAAGGATCTGAGGACTGAAAAGCAACAGGGATGTGGCGGGGGGGGGGGGGGGCACAAGGGCTGGCGGTGTGTTTGCAGGAAAAAAGTGTCCCTTTGCGTCGTAATTTCTTATGCTCTCAAAATAGTGAAATATTTCTTTGTGGGTCTAAATTATCCTGCAAAGATGGTGCTGATACTAATCAAATGCAGAACTAAGGAAGCATCTAAAACATGGAGGGGCTGATTTGGATGCAAACTGTTGCTGGGGTTGCTACAAGGAATCCAGGAGTTATATAACAATATGTGAAACTGTATATTCGAAATTCAAAATAATCTGGCAAGGAGGGAACTAAGATCAGTGGCTTCGGGGGCTGTCAGAATGCAGAATTTTCTTGCCCTTGCAACTTACACTTAACTGCAGAATGAGGGCAGTTAAGTGTAAGTTGCAAGGGCAAGAAAAATGTGTTTGTGGCTGGAAGGGGAGCTCTTTAAGGCACATTAAGTTTAAAAACCCAGTATTTTGGTGCATCATTCTCACCAATCATGAAATGATCTTATATTAAGCAGTCTTATTTCTGTTGTCTGCTTAATTCTCATCATCCTGAGAGGTTCCCTTAATAAGATGCAACCATCAGAAACCCTCTTGTACAGCCGGCCAGAATGGTCCATGGCCTCAAACAGAAATCCTTCCCAGCCCTGTGTATTGTTCAGGCTGCACCTGAAGAATGGCGAGGAGGTTACTGAGTTTCAACAGGTAGAGCAGTAATCTTTCAGTGTCCAAAAGCCACAATAATTTCTTGCAAGCCTGCTCAGGCCTTGTGGCCTTCAGCTTGCTAACAGGAGCACCAGAAATATTTTGGGATTAAGTTGCCATCCCAAATAATGCTATAGATAAAAGCATTCTTTTCACAGCACCGTGAGAATGACACTGTGTGTCTTACCAAAACAGTTTCATTCCCGGAAAAGAGGAGGTAACCTGAGCGCTTCCTGATAGGCTCTGTAACAGTGAGAGAGAGGAGCCGTATGAAACCCACGGCAAGAGGTGTTCTCTTCCGTGCTTGTCCGGGGAAAGGAATCGATTCCCTGCGTGCCCAGGCCCTTTTGGAGGTCTATGGGGCCCTCTGGCCTCTTCAGAGAACCAACGGACCACCGAGAAGGGGAGTATTAACTTTCTTTTGGCTAGTTTATTAGCATCCTCTCCGTATCTCTCACTGAGTTCAGTAAACTGTGCATCACAGGTGCTTTTGTGTCCTCCAAGGTCTTGTTCAGCCTAAACGAGGGTGCCTTTTCTGAGCCAGGCTCAGGACTTGCTGCTGCCTGGGTTCCTTTTCTACTAGAAATGCTGGAGCCTTCTGCATGCCATGGGAAGGAAGGGAATCCAAGAGATGCTCGGCCCGGTGTGTCTCCCGTGTATCCAGAAAGCGCTGGAGGGCAGATGCAATGAACCTCTGGTGAGAATGTAAGATTGTAAGGAGAGCCATGCCAGTGACCCATCCAGTCCAAGAATGGGAAAGCAGCTGCCCGAAAGAGCCCTCCAGCAGGATGGGTACCCCAATTCTGCCTGCCCACGCTTCTCCACAAGAAGAGGTGGCACATGGCCAGCAAGGCTGGTCGCCACGGAGAGCCTCCTCCATCCGTCTGTTCAAGCACCTTTGAAAGCCGTCCCGACTGGGGGCCATCTTGTGCAAATGAGCGATTCTGTAACTTAAGCTGTGAGAGGAAAGACTTCCACTTCTCTGTCCTGAATCTCTCCCTCATCAGCATCAGGGGACGCCCCTGGCTTCCAGTATTATAAGAGAGAAAAAAGGTCTCCCTTTCCACGGTTTCCAATGGCACATATTTTAAACACCTCTATCATGCCTCCCCTTACTCATCTTTCCTCTAAGCGAGACAATTCCACTCGTTAAAGCTTCCTCAAAGGAGAGCTGCTCCAATTGCGTCGTTACTTTAACTGCCCTTCTCTGTGCCTTTCCCAACTCAATAATGCCCTTTTTCAAGTGCAGCAACCAGGAGAGTGTACATAATATTCTAAGTGGCGTCAGGCCAAAGGTTTGTGTAAGGAGAGTATAACCTCGCCATTTTTATTTTTAATTGTGTTCCTAGTTAGAGCATGGGGTTTTCCTTTATCACAGCAGCCGGGCACTGGTTTGATGTTCTCATCCAGCTGTCCACCACAAACCCCAGGACCCATCTCTTGATCGGTCACGGCTAGCTCGGATCCTATCAACTTGTACCCGAATTCTGGATTTTTTGCCCTGGCATACATGACTCTTCACTTCCTTATACCGAACAGTCTTTGCCATTTCGGTGCCCAGTCTCCCAGCTAGGAAAGACTCCTTGGCGCTCCTCGCAACCCATTCAGTTTAAACCACCCTAAACGGTTTCCTGCCATCAGCCAACCTGGCCACTTCACCGCTTACTCCTAATTCCGGATCACGCATGCATAGGGTGAGAAGCACCGATCCTAATCCAGAACCTGGGGAACCTCCACTGGCCCCATCTGCCCACTGGGGGAGATGGCGCTGCATCACCGCCCCTTCTGGTCTGCCCTTTAAACAGTTAGCTTTTTAAAGGTTTAAAAAGCAGTTAGCACTCCGGTTTAAACAGTTAGCGCTCCGGTCTCCCGGTATTCCTTGACTACTAAGTTTGCTCAGGATTCTTAGCCGAAGGGCTTCGTCTCATGTCTTTTGGAAGTCTGAGTAAACCGTGTCGACCAGATCGCACCCGTGCGCTTGCGTACTGACACTCTCAAAGAACTCTAAAGTGTTTGGTGCGACACGCCGTGCTGATTCTTTTCAAGAGGACCTGCTTCTCCATCTGCTTTCAGAAAACTTTCGGCCGATTTACCAGAGCAGATATGATGCTAACCAGCCTGCTATTTCCCGGATCCCTTGGGCATCACATGGGCCATTCCCAGTCCTCTGATGCAGAGCCTGATCGTAGAAACGTCTTGACAGTAAGAAAGACAGCGGTTTCATATGTGAGGTGTTTACGATACTATCCGTGCCTGGAGACTTATTAACACTCCCTTTGCCACTAACATTGAGAATCTCTTTTGTTCCTCGGACTTCCTTCCTGAATGGATCAATTCTCCCAGGCGGTATTAAGTGGAATTAGTGATGCCAGTCCAGGTTCCCACTTGCCTCCCTAGCAGCCCTCAGTTGGTTCACACGTCATAAAAATAAGTGCACTAGTAAGAAGGACAGCAGAAATACAAAGACCATAAAATCCCAAGCTACAACATTTAAAGCAGCTTAAACCAAATCCATTTCAACAAACATTAGGCCTGTTAGAATGGTTGACATATCATATGCCATTACGTGCCGTAACCTGTTGCGAAAGAGACGGCAATGTTGGTTCTAGACGGGCCTCAATGGGGAGATAATCCCAGAATTCAGGGGCCACCACTAAGAGAGCTCTCCAGTTTGCCACCGCCCTCCAGGCTTCCCATGGTGCTGACAGTTGGAGGAAGGCCTCAAATTGTGTCCGGGGAGAGTGGGGTCAGGTTAGGCCTCCAATCAGTTGTTGCAGATCCCAGACATGTAGGACTTTATATATTATAACCAGCACTTTGAAGTGGGCTCAGAAGCACACTTAGCATCATTTACAATTAAAAAAAACACACGGCTGCCCATTTGAGCAACGAGCAAAAATGGCATTAGGCAGTTTCCTTACGCAGCCTCGCATGAAATGGCCCTCTCTTGTTGAGTAACACAACTGTGAACACGACTCTGTCCAGCATTCTTAAGAAATCAGAGTTGATGGTTCTGATAGGCACAGATGAACATGATTCCAAACTGGGGTGTGTTAATATTGCAACAAATGTTCATGAAATTACCTGTTCGCATATTATTCTGACCACAATTTGTAATTCTTGGTCACAGGCTATTCTTCAAAAACTGTCCTGAAGACAAAAACAGGTTTAAAACCAAATATGTTTTGTCTGCTTAAAAAGTCAGTTTATTATTTTCAGTTCAGCATTCATACCAGATAAATCGCCTCCCTCGCCGCAGGCAGCAAATACCTGTTCCCTCCGTCCTTTCCCGTGACTACGCTTCGCCTGGTGCTTTCTCTGCTTTTGAGAGGCAATTCTTTCATTTCAGAGAGCCTTGGCCATTAGGCGGTATATACATTAATTAAATAAACAGTAAATTGAAACACTTCTCTGCAGAAAGCCAGTGTGATGTAGTGGTTAAGAGCACGGGGCTGGAACTCATGCATTCCGGGTTTTATTCCCCACTCAGCCGTGGACCCAACTGGCTGCCTTTGGTCAGTCTCAGACTCTCAGCCCAGCCTACCTCACAGGGTTGTTGTTGTGGGGGATAATATCGAGAGCAGGGGGAATGATGTAAGTCATTTTGCACTCTTCAAAGAAAACAGGGAGGATATAAATCTAAATAAATAAAAATAGATATAGAGCTATCTCTTGGCATAAATCAGCGTGAGGTTGGTAAGGACCTTTAATATGAATAAAATATTCATTTTTTATGAAACCCTATATGCAGCTTATAGAAATTCTTTGTACTAAGTTCTTTCTTTTGTTGTTATTACCCAGTTCTTTCACTGCTGTATAGAACGCTCATTTAAAAAAAAAAAAAGATTGAAATAGGGGAGGCTGAAAAGTTTGAGAATAGCTCAATTTTATTAGGTACGAAACAGAATTAAAGAAATATGAGATGATTTTAGTTGAATTATGGATTGATTAAACTTGCATAGGAATGGGAAAAAGATTTCTGCAGCAAAAGGCTTAGCTATTTTCCTTTTTTTAGAGGGCACACACCTGTCTTAAAATCCTTAAAAGAGGGATTTCTCATGTGCATCTGAAAAGACAGAACATCTCTTCCGGGATGGTTCTGGCATTCTGCAGTTTTTGTGAGTGTGCATATATATGTGTAAGTACACAGTAATTAATTTTGTAAACTTTTAGTCAAATGTAATCTTATAACTGATCGTTCCAACTGCAATTAAACATTGCAGCTCGAAATGAAAATTATGCTTGGCTATTTCTTACAATTATAAATTTGCAGAAACATTTATCCTCGTCACTCACAATTTTATATACAATTTACATAAGTATGTTCTAGATATTGCAAAAATATAGTCCTGCCTTTGTGCTAATCCCACTGTTTTGGGGTGCAAACGCACGAGAGCAATTCATCAGTTATGCTGAGAAGAGAAGCTTGCTCAGTTCACCTTCCAAGGATTATTAATAAGTAGTTCCCAAACATAATGTCTTCAGCTCCTGAATGAAATGCAATTCAACCCTTGTAATACACAATTTCTGGTGCAGCTTAAACTATTTCCTAGCTATTTTTAGTATGGATGCTATAGTCAGCTGCTGCTTACTAATCTCAATTCAACATCATTCCTCAGTAAACCCATCACATAGTTTGCCCTGGCCCCAAAAGACCTCTGAGGCACAATTTCAATAGGAGCTCAAGGTCTCACATGTACCAGCCAATTTCCCCATACCAATTACCCACACAGAATGAGCCTTTTCGGAAACCAAGAATCCAGGAACGCTGTTGTATTGGTTTCCAAGTACATATTCACTCTTTCAGCAGTGGGCAAAAGGTCTGTTTAGAACTACCTGTCCATTACTGGGTGATTTGCAGTAGATTACTAAGTGTTGTTATTATTCCAACTTAATAACAATACTAATAACAGCATGGCCCACAGCGCCTCTTAAATTATACTGCTGAAACTAAGAAAAGATTAGGTAACCTAGAGTGCTATTATGTGTGGATGAACTCTTAAGTTTCGCTTAGTTCTGTTACTCAAAACAAACCCCCAGGCATTTCATATCTTATCTACCAGGTTCTGGCTGGTATATCTCATGTTTCCAGCAAATATACACACAACTACACAAGCTTAATGTATGTTCACCCCTGAAATAGTAACATACTGTATATAGGACCAACCCTGAGAAGAAAGCTTTGGGAAAGGACTGATGATAGATCAGTAATATTTTAAGAAGTTCTCTTTTTCACAATTCTGAATTTACTATTACAGCAAGACTGCCTGGAGCCCTTACCCTTCACTGTCCTGAAAGGAAACCCAACACTGGAAATTAGTACATGGAATTGTGTGTCTTCAAGTGAATATTTTTAGTAAGTGAATCAACCTGCATTCAAATCTATTTTTCCAAGGCTTGGGGGAGAGATAAGGATCATCATTCCAGATTGCTCTCAGAATTTAAGAGCAAACTTTCCCTGCTACAGGTACGAGGTTATCCAGAGCAAACAAAACTTGAAACATAAGTTTTAGAGAAAATCATTCTAAAGATACTCTTTCCAACAGCTACTTTTCTGGGTTAATATACTGTTGTTTTTAAAATGTTTGATTATGAATTCACATTCACTGTAATCTATACCTGTCTGCTCAGAGATAAGCTGCAGTGAATTTACAGAGAGAATTGTAGCCGGGGGAATTTTCACTAAAAAGCTGCTCCTGTCCTCAGACAAGCAGCATTCGATTATTTAGAAAATAACAGTAAGTTTAAAGTGACTTACTTTCAATATTTTAATTTTTACATGTCATACTTGTGAACTGACTTCACCCCCAAAACATCTAGGTTGAAATTGTGCTTTATATGTGTACATACATATACTAATTTGGTTGCATCCTGTTACTAAATCAATCAGTAAGTCTCAGGTGGGTTGTGAATGGAAGAGTCTGTACTTGAGCTCAAATTCAGCTTCTTTACTTGAATTAATTTATCTGTCCTGAAAAACAGGACCATGCCAATGCTATCAAGGTGAAATGTTTGAAATAATTTTCCTCATTCTAACTGGCTGGCAGAGCAAAGCATAGCAAACTGCTTCATTAAAAGGTGAAAGAGTTCTGTACTTACAATATTAATATTATCAGACAATGACGGTTCTTCCAAGGAGGTCCCGTCCTTTACTGAGTCTTTGTGTGTCCTGATACTGTAACAGAAAAATGACACGACCATCTCTGCATGATGTAAATGCACTCACAATTCGCCTCAGTGGCTCCTTTCTAGACCCGCATGCTCTATCAGCTCCACACATACATAAGGAAATTGTGTTAAAAGAGTAAGTGGCGCCGACAAAAAGCCAACTCGAAGGGGCTTACCTGAATGCTCAAATCCCAAACTGCGTGCACAAAATTGAAACTAAAACCATGAACTTAAGGATAAAGCACGGGAACATTCAGCCGCAGCCTGGCATTTTGCTCCTGATACTTAAAGCTGAAGATTTATATGATAGTGCAACGTGGGTGAGGTTGAGACACAGTCAAAGGTGTGCACAGAGGCCAAGTCCCGGCCAGGAGAACCGCCCCTTTGTTCCGCCAGAATTGCATGCATGTCACTCCAGCAGCGCTTTGATCATAAAGCGAAAATGCTCTTCCAGTTACTTTTGTTTGAACTTTGTAGCCGCTCCCAAATAGCAACATAAACAGAAGAAAGCAACTCTGGTTCCTCAGGCAAATTCAATATACCATTAATTTGTCGGATACTAATACAGTCTTTCTCCTCTTAAAAGTTCCAAACTATTTTGCCAGTCAAGATAGCGCATTCCATGACCTACATTTCAAATTGGCTTCTGTACCCACATTGATTCTATCTATGTATATTTACCTATATCTCAAACTCATTCCCATAAGTGATTAGATCTGTGAAATTGCCCTCGGGGCAACCTATTGCCCAAGTGTTATTTATGTGACAATGCGGATATCTTTACCACTGGTTTGTCACATTTTTCCTTTTTCCGAGAAGACATACCCAGACTCTGAGACATAAATTTTAAATGTCTTGGGTAGGAAGGATAGTTTAATCGTGTGTAGAGCACAGTCAGAACCATTAGAAACAACGAGAGTCTTTGCAAATTAAGTCAATGGGATATGGCTGCAACATTTGATTTCCCTGCTGTTGGAGAATTTATTTTTCTCAATAAAGAATTTGGAATGTAGCTTGGCTGGTGTCAGGGATAAGGAGAGAGAAACCTGTAAAGAAGGAAGACAACATGTATATGTTACTGGGAAGGTTAGACAGCTGTGTCAAATGCTGACATATGATTTTGTTTCCTTTAGAAAATCGTTCCTACATGAGTGCTAGTTTTTACGACTTTAGCAGAAATCGCATTTCCAGGTTTAGGGAAGTTCTGTAGGCTTAGAAACAGAACACATTTTTGGCACGCTGGAGGTTGCAAGAGCAATCCAACATCGTTAGGTAAGAATGGAAAACTCCCTGTATAGTAGTCATTTTACTATGAGATAAACACAGACATAATAATGACTCAGTTGTCTGACTATTTCAGATATCTTCTTATATTCTTACAGATCTACATTTTCAGGGTTTCTTTGGAATACATTTACACTCATTTTTGGAAGAGAATTTTTAAGGAAGGATTATACAAAAGTTACCGCACTATTAAAACCTCCAGTTATTTATAATGTAACTGGAGTGATCCAATAGACAGGCGATTTGGTGACCATCTGCTTTGATTTCCAAAAGCATTTTGACAAAGCCTCTCACTAAAACTTGCCAAGCAAACCTGGTAGTTCCGGAATAAGACAAGAGGATCACTAACAAAGGACAGAAAGCAAAGAGCAGGAATAAATGGTAAATTTTCCAATGGGGGAAGATAAACAGGTTCCCACAGGGGTCTGTACTCAGACCTGTGCTTTTTAACCTGTTTATAAATTATCTGGAATTACGAGTGAGTGAAGTGGCCAAGTTTGCCGATGACATCAAATTATTTAGGGTGGTTAAAAGAAAAGGGGATTGCAAAGGGTTCCAAATGGATATCTTCAAATTGAAAGAATGGACATCAAAATGGCAAATGCAGATCAAGATAATCAAGTGTAAAATGATGCACATCAGCACAAAAAAACCCCCAATTTCAAGTACAAGTACAAGTTTGTTTGGGATCTAAGCTGTCATGACCGTTCAAGAAAGAGATCTTGGGGTCTTGGTAGATGGCTTGATGAAAAGATCTGTATGAAAAAGGGCAAATGCCATGCTAAGCATAATTAGGAAAGGAATTTTTAAAAACCTGCCAAGATCATACTCCTCTTATGCAAACCTTTGGTGTGACCACACTTAGAGTAACTGTGCACAATTCTGTTCACACCACCTAAAAAAAGAATATTGTAGAGCTGAAATGGGTGCGGAGGAGGACAAGGAAAATGAGCAAGGGACTGGAAAAACTCTCCTATGGTGAAAGGTTAGCCAATGCTCTTTGGGTGGTTAACGAAACGCAAAATCAAACGAAAATTTAAAAGACACACACATGCACAAACATTAATTCAAAAGAACAGAACCAGAGTAACAATCGCTCAGTACAGAAGCCTAGCAGCGGTGCAGAATGAAATGGAATATATTTTAAAAGTTGAAAAGTTAGATGGTCAAAATAGAAAGTTCTTCACTAGGCACTGAAAAGAATATAAAGTAGGTGCCAAGAGTACCTCTTTGGGGGGTTTTATTCCAAAACTGGGGTGCCCCAACTGAGAAGGCCCTCTTCCTGGTAGCTAGGGTGCAGGAGAAGGACCCCTGGGGATGACCTCCAAGGTACATGCTTGGCTACTTTCTGATCCAACATGCCTCTTTTTATGTGATCATTGGCGATGGCCATGGAGACGTCTCTCTCTCAATAATCTTTCTCACAAACTGAAAACGATTTAACAAAAGAAAGCCCTTTGGATTTTGGCACCCCTAAGCTCTGCATCTATGCCCTGTTTCCCCAATTCAGTTAAACAGAAGGAGCAGCTCTCTGTGTTTCCCAAACTTCTTTTTTTTTTCGTTCAACCTCCCGTGAAATAAGCAGAGACATTCAGCTGCACAAGAGAGCCTGTCAAGCTGAACTTTGGGTCCTTTGGTTCATACATCAGGACCGGGTAGGTCTGGGAGGATGCTGGAGTGAAGGGAACATCTTGAGCTCCCCTCTGGTAATGGAGTAATAAGAATAAATAGACAACACAATATTAAAGTGCCTACTGTTTAACCATAGCCCTTTTGAAATAATCCATGCCCAGATACTGTATCTTACTATGAAATGACAACATACATCAAAAATACTCTTCTTTGTGCACTGGATCCAGGACACATGTCGTGGATGATCTCAGCTTTGCTGAACTGGAGGAAAAATACAAAATAGCTTCAGCATCTACAGCATCGCTGTTTTTAGGCACGATGACCTAACGCCTCCCTAAGCTTAGATGAAATGTTGACCAAACCCTCATTTCCCTGCCAAAGTACATTCACTGTGCAATTCCATGCCTTATTTAAATGTGCTACAGCTTACAGCATCTCTCTAGCATTACATTGCATCCTAAATGTATTGCCCATCTCTCGTTTTAGAGTCCACAGTTTGTGATTTGGTTGCTGTCCCAGATCTCAGCTGCATCGTATGTTAATTCATGGGAACCCATAAAATTAGGTGGTCTCACTGGAACCAGAGAGCTAATGAAGTCACTCTGTCTTGCCCGTCTGTCCCACGGTGACAGGGCAGGAAGATGCTAGATTGTGATCTCTTCACGATCTCTAGGAAGTGTTTCTGCCTCCCCGTTGTCTAACAACCCACTCATCCTATTAAGTCATGAAATTTAATGCTTGGAAGAAAAGCGGGAGTAGGTTTTTGGGTGAAAGGGCTCACGACTTTAGTCTTGATATTCGGCAGGGCTGATTATGTCCTCATTACGCCAGCCAGTTCCATAATACGTCCACCCACCTAAGCCACTCCTTTGATAGCTGGCTCTGATCAGAGTTGTATCTTGGAAAATACAAAGTATATCCTGAAGACCTGAAGTCTGCTAAGCCCAGTGTTAATTTATGTTGAAAAAACTTGTTTCTCATTTGGATCGCCATGTAGATCACATCTTGAGGATGCTAAGCTTATACTCATGAGATAAAGGTGTGTGTGTGTGTTTACACGTGTGTGTGCAGCGGGCGTCCTCATTTAAATTCTTGAATTAGCATCTGATTCTGAATGCCAAGAATTTGTGTGTTTGTTTCATCTTGGGGCCATGGGGAAAGACTGATGCCTGTGTGAACGATTTAGCAAATTATGCAAATTTAACAAATTCTCCAGCACCTTCTCAAATTTAATATACATGGGGATATCTGCATCTCAAAGGCCAAATTTACATGTTTCTTGCTCCCTGATTTCAGATGAATTAAAATATTTGAGTTGGTTCCAAGTAAACGATGACATAAGTACTACCTGATACCTGCTTCGTGATAAATATTATCCATTATCCTCCACCTTAAAGAATCTCTGTTTTTTATTATCTCGTAAGTAGTTACAGGCTGTGTTTCCTGTCTGGCTAAGGGAATAGATCGTACAATTTATTTTCCAGCATTCATGCATGCTATGTTGAATCCATTTTTTTCAAGCATCCTCTAGAATACTGGATATATTCAGCTGGTTGCATGAGAGGAAAAAAGGTATCGTACCTGTCCTTCAAGCTACTTGCATTTTGGATGTGCCGCCATGGTAACAGCTCATACAAACTAGATCTTACTGTTTTGCATTACAAATAGGCATGCTATGCGATGAAAAAATGCATACGTCACTAAATCTCTCCCAGCAACTGAGCGATTGTCTCAGAGAAACATTTTCTTACACAGTGTAGGAAATAATCTCTCTATCTAGAAATGACAGGATGACTCACTTTGTTTGCAAAATGATACCATTTTACTTGGAACTTTGTCATAAAAACATGGGGACACATCCATTGACATAGTCGAAGGAGCACTCGGGAGCTTATTTATTTATTTATTTCGATTTATATCCTGCCTTTTTCCTACAAGGGGCTCAAGGCAGCTTACATCTTCTCCTCCTCCATCTTCTCCCCACAACAACAACCCTGTGAGGTAGGTTGGGCCGAGCGTCTGTGACTGGCCCAAAGTCACCCAGTTGGCTCCATGGCCGAGCGGAGACTCGAACCCAGATCGCCTGAGTCCCAGTCCCGTGCTCTTCACCACGACACCACACTGGCTCTTATGAAACATACTCTTCCGCACCCTGGTGTTCCACCTTCTCCTCACGGCTGCGCACATCCCCTTAGAAGCCCCCCCAAACCTACCAAATACAAATGCAGAAATTATGGCCAGGCCTGGTTATTTAGAGTCAGTGCAGCGCAGGGCCACAAGGATGGTGGCCGGATTGCAGGGAAAGCCGTATGAGGCGAGACTGAGGGAGCTGGGTCTCTTCAGCCCGGAGAAGAGGAGACTCCGAGGGGATCTGCTGGCGACATGCAGGTATGTGAGGGGGTATCACATGGAGGTGGGTAGAGACCTGTTCTCCCCTGAAGAGGAGGGCAGGATGCGCTCCAACGGAGCAAAGCTCAGGGAACCAAGGTTCAGTTTGGATGCCAGGAAGTACTACCTGATGGTTAGGACCCCGAGGGTGTGGAATGGGCTTCCACGGGAGGTGGTTGAGGCCCCATCGGTGCGGGTGTTCAAGGAGAGGCTGGACGTGCACGTGGTGGGCATGTCGTGAGCAGAGCCGGCTGGAGCCAGGGGTCAGACTAGATGGCCCGGGAGGCCCCTTCTGCCTCGCGCTGTCTCTATTTTGAAAAGGATTCCTTTCCCTTGCTTGTGGTGTGAAAGCAGCTGCAAGGGCTTTTGCCCAAAGTGCAGTCATGCAAAAAGGGGGTGGAACTGGGATGGCGCGCACACAAATACTCCTGCAAAACAATCGAGCGCTGCCAGGGATGGCGTTGGCCTAGAGCACAGAAATGGCTGCTGTGGATCGGCCTTGGCACTAAGCGAAGGTCTCCAGAAGCAGCTGATCTTATAGTTCTGTGCCGATGATCCCATCTTTCCTCTGGATTAATCGAAGCAATTAGGCATGTAATCAGGGCACGTTGGCTGGGATACTCAGAACTATCCCAAGAAACACAAAAGAGGAGCATCTTACAGTCTTAAGACCATGCGCCATTTTTAAAAGAAGACAAACGAAAGAATGGAAGTGTGCCCTGCATCCCATGAAGACTTGTCCACATGTGCCTGAAAAGCACAAGCCAACAGCTTCCCCAGGCTGAGGCAGTGAGGTGTCTTTACTCGTATGAGGGCGAGAAATACCTCACAGCACAGCACCTGTTGGCTTGTTGCCGAAAGCAGGGCCATAAAATTGGCAGTGCTGGAATGAAGAGCGCAAATCTGTAAGCCAACACCACACACACACAAGATATAAAGCTATGCAATGAAATTAAAAGTTCTGTGAACGGGCATTCATGGAGAAGCCTGCCGAATATTTTGGGACATTTTATTTGTAGGAATCAGAGGTTGGTGCCCATGCGAAGACTCGATAGTGCCGTGAGAAAACTCACCTACAAAAGAAATGAAATTAGGGAAGGAGTTGTGGATCAAAGTTGTGTGCAGGGTGGGGAGCGTATAAAAGAAGGGAGGGATAACAGCCACCACTGCAATTTTCTTTTATGCCATCCTTTACCCTCACACCCCTAAGGGTCAGATCCAAGTGCGATCTTAAGCTGTAGCTACTGAGGAAAAACAGGAGAGGTTGTCGCTGGAGGCGCGGAGAAGAGGAGCAAGGTAAACACTTCTGTCCCCTTAGGAAGAGCTCCCCTCTTACAGAGCGATCTTTTCTTTCTCCACTCTAACCTTGAAATAGAAAGAATCCTTGCCTTCCATGTGTTTGTAGCTGGCAAACGTGCCGAAAGCAACACTCCAGGCAAGTTGCGGGAAAAGCCATGCGGGGCCTTTTCTCTGCTGTGGGGGTTTTGGATGTTCGGCCCCCAAAACATGCTTCTGTTCAGCACATTGTGCACAACTATTTGCAAGTATTAGTGTAAAATTTTTAAAAATCTCAAACGATCTTCCTAACTTAGTTGTGAGTACAAGGGATTTTGACAGGGAAAAGTATTTATTTATTTATTTATTTATTTATTTATTTATTTTTCAATTTATATCCTGCCTTTTTCCTACAAAGGGCTCAAGGCAGCTTACATCTCCTCCTCCATCTTATCCCCACAACAACAACCCTGTGAGGTAGGTTGGGCTGAGAGTCTGTGGCTGGCCCAAAGTCACCCAATTGGCTCCATGGCTGAGCAGAGTCTAGAACCCAGATCGTCTGAGTCCCAGTCCCAGGCTCTTAAGCACCGTACCACACTGGCTCTCACTGGTAATTATGAAGGATATGTTTATTCCCACACCTCTGGCGTGGCTCTTGGGGGACTACAGATGATCCTCAGCACCACACATTTTCGAGTGCAGAAGTGCTGACCTTTTCCTCTGCCATAATCAGAGATGGGACACTCTTTCCTTTCGTGTGGCATGACGGATAGCCTTGACCTGAGACCCTTCAGAAAAGATGGTGCTGTTGCAATTTCTACATTCTCTGTTAATCTGCTGGAGTCTAGAATTGTACTTTTCCTGATGACTTAATGAACTCCCACGCTTGTGCAATTCGTGGTATTGTAATGCTGGATGCAAATAGAATGGCAGGTTGTTGCTTTCTGGAAACTTTGGGTTCCCAGTGGGCAGTGTGACAAGGAAGGTCATGGGCTCTTGGGCAGTGAAGGCATCCAAGATGCAACTGGCAGCCATCTGAGAGGAATGGTTTAACTTGGAGTCCTGCACCGAGCAAACGGAAGGACCTGGTGGTCCTCTGACCCCTTCCAACTCTACTGTTCTATGATTATATGATACTTACATCCCTGCCTTTTCCTATCAACTGGCTTGGATGCTACATTAACGCTACCGCTATGTGCTTCTGGGCTAGATGGAGTTTTATCACATTATTTACTTTGAAAGGAAAACAACACCAAGTGCTTAAAGAAGATGGAACTTGGTGCTAAAGATGTTTACTTTGCATTGATATAACTTCTACTGAACTTAACATGTCTTCCAAGTAATGACTGCTCTCTTAAAGGTGTTACATGAATGGCAGCCAGTATCTTAGGGATTAAAAGTAAAAAGAAAAAGAGAACTGGCTATCAAATAATGTCGTTTTTACTCTGGGCTATTATCTCCAAGTTTTACAGCTGCCATCTCTACTCTTTACATACTGGTTTTTATAAGTGATCACAATTTGTTGACTAAGAAAAATGACTAGTAAAACCTGACTGTAATCAGTTAATGTAATCTCGTTGTAACAATACACCACTTCATAAGCACCTGAGAGGCCAAGGCCACGGGGATGGCTTTCTGGTTACCGGAGTAACATACAAAGAAAACAGTATGAAAACACGAAGTAACTAACTTCTACGAATTAAAGTTCTTATTCTTGCAGTGCACAACATGGTATTCCTGGCTGTTGCGTTGAGTTGGTCACAGCTGAAAGAGGATGCTTTGGTCTTTGGTCACGGCGCTGATAAAGTGATAAAAATAAATATTCGAAGCTCTTGCCTCGATTTAGGGGTGGGTTTTGCAGATTTGGCAATGATAAAAGAAGCAGAGCAAATGTGCTAAAAGTCTGAATTGACACGGGGTCGTTTTCCTTTAGCTGAGGGTATGAAGAGTAGAGTCAATGGACTTGTTCATACAACATGTTAGCCCAGGATGGGCTATTTGATGCGCAGTTGGGCTGCTGCGAATACAGGGAGTGTTTTTGAATATTTAACTCCTGCTTGGAGGTGACTGCATTGTGTGAACGTTGTGCTTTTTGCAAGGATTAAACAACCCTCCGAAACCCATGGTCAATTTTAGTTTATAGGAGGGTCGTTTAAACCCCGCATTACACATGCTTGCTTGATTCACAACAGGACAACCCTTGAATGGGGCCGGATAGCAAACCTTGCATTTTAAAGGTTTACATCACCACAGTGAGTAACCCGAACCTGATCATTCCGTGATTCTACTCACTTTACCAGGCAGAGACTATCTGGACTTCAGATGTCTAAGGCAACCCTGAGTGGCTAAAAACAATTCCCTAGCAAGCCTCTCTTGGGGAGAGATTCTTTCCTTAATGAATTTTAAGGAAATTTTAAGGAGAGTCAGTGTGGTGTAGTGGTGAAGAGCATGGGACTGGGACTCGGGCGACCTGGGTTTGAGTCCCTGCTCAGCCATGGAGCCAAGTGGGTGACTCTGGGCCAATCACAGACCCTCAGCCCAACCTGCCTCACAGGGTTGTTGTTGTGGGGATAAGATGGAGGAGGAGAAGGATGTCAGCTGCCTTGAGCCCTTTGTAGGGAAAAGGCAGGATATAAATTGAAAAATAAATAAATAAGTAAATTTTAATTATATTTTAATCTTCATTGTAGAGACAGCTTAGGCCTTATTTGAAATACAATAAAAAGAAAAGCAATAGTGGAAAGACATTTGCAGCAGAAAATAATGTTCAGGAATGACAGTAAAGCATATCTTAAACCCAGAAACCAGAGAGATCCCCAACCTGGTTGCAACCCTGCACGAACAACTGTTTTGGACTGGCATCTAAAACCATATTGTGGGAGCAGCAAGCGAATGCGAAATGGACTTTCAGCAAGTTGCCACAAGAGGAAAAAGCACTGAATACACCCCATGAGGGCCGGTCAGCTCTTTGATGATCTCAACAGCTGGGCAAGTTCGGACTGAATCATATGATCTTTCAGAAATCCAAGGCCCAAGCTGTTTAGGGCATTACAGGGCAAAGCTCTCCTTCACACCGCACTAAAGGGACCAAGAACGTTCGCCTTACCGGTGGAGATCTTGACAGGGTTAAAGATGTTAGCAGTGCAGAATCGCAGGGCGAGTGATGGGAAGAGATCGCTATTCCTTCCGCGTCGATAGCATTTGGGAAACAGAATCACTCAAGGAGAGGATGGATTGGGCTTGGGTTTCCAGAGATTGCTTTCCCCCTTACTTTTAG